ATTTGATAAGCCGAAAAATTGCCATCATGAGTTGATCATCATCTAACCCTTTTGAACAAGGTGAAATAGTTTGTAAATCCAAGAGGCTGTGATGGCCAACAGCGCGTTAAAGCTTTAACATTCTCAAGTCTACAGATACAAGTTCGAATCCGGGCTGGGCGGGTTTAAATTTATTTCGTGGTGGGCCCACGGACTTTATCTCGACCTTTCCACTCTGGTTAGAGTAGGTTTCATCGTATCTCAGTATGCCACAAACAGCGAGAGGGCAGTAATCGAAAAAAAAAAAGCTGATAACTCTACAGTTTTCATCTAGAACACGAAAAGATTTGAAGTTATCAACTTCATCACGGTGTGCAAGCTTTTGAGTTGATCAAAACATATTTCACCCATGAGGATCATTATTATACTAACCAAGTTCTCTGTCAATATAGATATGAAAAATTAAATTTACAATTGCTATGATTCCTATCCATTGATACCTTCAGTCGAAGGTACAGCGTAAAGTAGGAGAAAAAGTTAAATTTCGTTTCAGGATATTGAAACTACCGTTGCACCTGGGACGCGACATGAGGAAAACACGAGGTATTATTTATTTCTGGGAACTTCGACTGGATTCCTCAAAAGGTTCAATATTCTTCCTTATCCTTATTTTTTTGTCTCTTTAATATCAAGTTCACAACTACCGAAGTACAATGGCGAATGATATTACAAGAGGAAATATTAAAATAACTGGATATGGCATAATCCACATGTAAAAAAAAATTGCTGTAGAAACAGAAACAAACACTTAATCTCAACCACAAATATGTAATTAAACATTACTTATGTAGAGGAATAAATGACTTAAAATGGGAAAAAAAAATTGTACACGCACACACAACTTCTCTTTCGAGACGAAGTAAATACAATATTTTTCCCCGTTCGATTAGAATGGTTCATTATAGACAGTCATAAGGCAAAACGTGTACAAATACCAATAGACTTTGCTATCTTAGCTAATAATTTAAAATCTGTGGGCGGACTAAATACATAGGGAAACATGTATTACCAAGAGTAATTATGGTTGAATCTTAAACCACAGTGTTTAAATTGAACCAATAAAAGGGTTACAAGAAATTTAGATCTGTATCAATGTAGTCCTACAGAAAATAACAATAAAACAACACGATATCGGAAATGACGATGCTTCCGATAATCACCAAGTCTGGCTCAGAGGCAGTTATGTCACTACTTTGGAACGTTAATCCATCTCTTATATAAACCTATATGTTGACAATGCTTTAATAAACTCAATTAATTCCAAGCCTATGAACATTAATTACGCATTCTCCGTTTTACAGAAATAAATAGGACATTTCTCAGTAAGATAGTGTTTAGGAGGGGGGAGGGAAAGGATCCCTCACAGTAGGTTATTTTTAAAAATTTAAATAAGTTCATTGCAAAATTATATTTTAATCAGAAGAAAACAGGTTTTTGGGTAATTTTCTCTTTAGGAACTTACTCAATTAATCTTATTAACACACTTTAATTAACTACAGAATAGAAATTCATTAACAAGCCTAAGGATACAATATTTTTATTTACTTGATTTGTTTTTAGAAATGCCTCATATTATATTTATATTCATCTTGTTAATTAGAAACAATCACCATGAATAAATAAATATTTTTTCTTAAGTGGTCCCTAAGAATAAACCCTACCTGCGCCCAATTTACTTTTTTTTGGGAACCCTCAAAAACAAATCGGCCTCTGACCCAAAATGGTCTAGTATGTCTCTGCGAAGTGTGGAATTCCAAACATTTGTATTCTCAATATGATCTGAACACAACCTTTGTTCAGATCATATTGAGCTAACTAATTACTTAGCTTTATTTCGATATATGTAATTCTTTTTCAGAGATGGGTATGTAGTTGACTGTTGAAATTGAAAGCATGAAAATTGATCAGGATATGCAGAAAGTAATTATGTTTATTGAGTTTGCCGAAGTTTCGACCCAAACGTGTGGGTCATCAAGGCTAAGAAATACAAAATTATGAAAGTAAATAAGAGAAGGAAAATGTGGAATGCAGGAATCAGTTAAGAATAATAAAAACGTTATAATATAGTAAGAAAATGTCCTGATAACGATCCACATGTTTGGATTGAAACTTGGGTAAACTCATTAAATATAATTTTTTGACTGCGAATTCCTGACCTTTTTTTTCATACACATCTTAAAATTTCTAACAGGTAAAGGACTTAAAAAAAATAAAACCTTATTATAATAATATTAGCAAAGATATTACAACAATTTTTGTATTAGATTCGCATCCAAAGCTGTAAAAAAAAATTGTCCGAGTTTACAAATTTGATATTTTTCATATAAAATTATTTTGAAATAACAAACCATTTTTAAACATAAATACCAACTTTTTTATTTATGTACATATTTAGATATCCAGAAATTTACTCAGCCTGATGAAAAATTAATGCTTAATGTAATTAACACATTACATGAGCCTATAATAGAGTATTGTATAAAAGTTTAGATTTGTAGTTCATGAATTTTTTACTTTAACTAACTTACCTATTTCTTTCTTCTGTATTTATCCATTCCTTGCAGTTCGGCTACATGAGTTTTGCAGAGATGACATATCACAAGTGTATATGGAATAATAACTTTTTTTTCTATATATGAAATATATTGTAATAGAAGATATTACAATCGTGAACATTTTTAAATTTGAGGTTCCCTGAGTCCAAAATACTGATTTTCATGAAATGGTCGGTGCGTATGTGTGAGAACAGCTTAGCTCAAAAAGAAAGTTGTATGAAACTGAAATTACGCTTTTAAGTTAGGTTTAGATTAACCAGATAGGCACTTTATAGAATAAAATTTACATATATTTACAATTTTCTCGAAAACGGCTTAAACAATTTTGATTAAACTTATATCAGTGTACAATCATGTGGTCTTTAATAGCAGGCAGGTATTATGTTTTTTGCAGTTGTATCAAATAAGTTAAATTGTAACAGTAATGGTTATAACCAGAAATGGTTATTGTTAGTAAAATTTTCACACGAAATGTTGAGGATCTACCAATATAAAGCTAGTAATAGACAATTTATACTCCTTTTTTCAACAAGTGTTGCGATAGATGTTCCTGATAAAGTTCAGAATTTTAGCAAAAGATTTATATTTCTCCACAATCATTAATATTATACACTAAAGAAAAATTGAAAGTGATCCAAACATATAAATTTAACAGATTTAATGGGTATTATAAATATGGTAATTAATAGTTTTATTTCATTTCCTTACATATGAAAATGTCTATTTAAACCCTAAATAGGGTGGTAAATGAAAGTTATGTGATGCTTTTACTGCACTAGATTTTTTTTATCAAGCCTGAAGGACTTGAAGAATAAAGCTAAAATCAAAGTTTTTAATAGATAAAAGGAAAAATGTTTTATGTGTTTAGAATATTGTTCATATTATTAAACAATTAAAAAGAAAAAAAGAGATCACACTCAAACATCAGATTTTTTCCTTAATTAATTAGGGGACCTACGGACTGGAACTGTGGAGGACAGCAAAATTTTGTAACATCAAATGCATTCAATCTTTCAGTCCAAAGTCCTACGAACAATAGTTGATACTCCTTTCTATGTAAACAACAAAACGCTACATCATGACCTTAATATCCTATTTGTCCTAGACCATATCCCTAAAAAAAATTCTAAATTCCATTAAAACCTTACATATTATCCAAATTCACAATCCCTATCTAGCTCCACCCATCCCTACAATCCTCCTCATAGGTTGAAGCGGGAGTGGCCCAGAGACCTATTGTAAGCATATATTGGAGTTCTTGCAAAGGCCAGATTCTCCATTCAAGCCATGTGTCTGGTTATAGCACCTCTGTTCAGCCTCCACTGGTCCCTAATACCAGTAATACGGCTGAGTGAGATGTGTTGGGATCTCTTAGAGTTCTGCCTTTGCTTAGAGAAAGGCATGGCTCGGAGATCTTGAGTGAATGAATTTTGTAAATATTGTATAAAAGCATGTGTGTATTTAAGTAGTTATTTTGATTAGTTTACTTTTAGTATTATTATTTTGCTGTTTATTTATTGTACATTGAGTGAATGAACTACTTTTCTATCACTATTACTATTGTCCTTAGATGTGACACATTGTAATATATCTCAATACAGAATTAAAAAAAAAAATTAATTAGTTAGGAGTATCCACTTTATAGAGGCTGGGTGTGCCTCAGGAGGTTGTGAATCCAGAGCTGATGAAACAGAATAAATAATAACCTACCACAGCTGGACTTGAACCCAGGACAACAGAGAATAGGAGCTGAGTCCATTACTCACTGTGTACCACACACCCTTATTAAAACACTAAAAAAAATAAAAAATAAAATATATATTGAGTGTTCAAATTGAATCTTCACTCTGATTGGATGAAAACCAAGTCATTTTCAAAACTAGATATCGTTAGGATGAAGTAAAGAGCGATATTCCAGAGAAGAGGTCTTCAATGAAACGATAGAAGGCGTGCTGTTGAAGACCGGCAGAGCTGGAGAAGGCTCTATAAACTTCCTCCTCACACTGCTTAATGCGGTTCAAGAGGATAGATTATGATGATGATGATGACATATCGTTAGGTGGAAGGTAAAAATGGACAACTGACATTTTTGTGAAGAACAGATTTATTACATTATGATAATGCAATTAAATTAAATTACGATATTGCTATTCTAAACCAAATCTACAATAATCTCATATTTGTAAAAATGTCAGTTTTACTTCCAACTTGAAAAAGTTCCAGCTTGGTATAAATTAGAGATGGGCAAATGCTACTCTCAAGTACTGAGTACCAAGTATTTTACTCAAATACTGACCTTTTTTGAGTATCAAAGAATTTAATTTCTACTTTAATTGATGTCAAACGATTAACTGAAGTAGTGATTGAATTCTCAATAGTGATTCAATTTGAGTAAAATACTTGGTACTCGGTACTCAGAGCGCTCTCTTAACTAGTACAGCTGATTCACCTGTTTTATTCGCCATTCTCATATACAACTCAATCTATCTATTAATTAAAGCTGGATTAATTATAACACAGATGGTCCTGGATAAGTTCTGTCATTATCCTACTCATCTATTGATGAGCCCAAAAAACTGGGGAAAGGCTACTTACAGATATACATTCTGAAGAGTAAAAAATAAATACAAAGATGAAATCAATGATAATCCTGATTAAATATTTTGGCAATCTAAATAGGTAAGAAAACTGATGACTAATGACAAATCATTTATAAAATTTCTTTAGAATATTTATTTGTATAAATTTCTCAATTTAAAAAATATATTTCCAGCATAACTTTAAGATAAAAATTACATATAAAATAATAATTTAAATATATTGTGTTTTTACAAATTTACAATGACAGTTTTTCATATAAACAATAATTTACATCTTACTCTTCGCTAAATAATCAGCGAGATCATGGCGATTCAATTCTTTGAAGAGTAAAAGAATTTTGTCCAAATTTAAATTAGACATTACTGGGCAAGACTGGAGAAGATCAAAACACCTATCAATTTCTTCTAGATATTCATTACCACCTCTTACTACAAACAGAAAAGTATGATGTTATTTTACAAAACTCAAACTCAAATGAACTATAAAATAATTGAAAATTAATTTTAAATGATTATTATTTTCATATTAATCAAAATTAGATTAAGGTTTCCAGCTTATCCCACAACATATTTTATTAATAAAAATCTCTTACATAAAATGTTTTAAATTTAAATTTATGATATTTCAGCTGGTAAATCATTGTCAAACATATTAATTTTCAAAACAATAATAAATTTCAAAATACAATAAAGATATCACTCAATGGCAGTAAATGTTAAAGATAAATATAAAATTAAAGATTTTTCAAGATTAGTTATTTATTAGTTTTTTTTTAATTTAGTCACATTTTCATTTTCACTCACTTAGGTAATAAATGATAAAATAAATAAATGCTAAAGAAGATATGACAAAAAAAACTAGACTATGTAAAAAATTTTAAAAAGAAGTTAGTCGACTGTTCTACATATCATAGGTGATAATTAATCAGGACGTAGTATTTTTTTTTAAACAAAATTTAAATTTTTTAGGACGCATTCTTTTTTTTTTTAAACAAAATTTAAATTTTTTATTTATGCCAACGTTTACCCAGTACTTGAACAACAAACCACGCCCTGAAGATGACCTACATGTTTGAGTTGAAACGTTGGCATAAATAAAAATTAAAATTAAAAAAAAAAAGACTGCGTTCTGATTATTTATCACACCTAAAAAACTTTAATTTTATTTTTATCTTTAAGTTGTAGCGTTGAAAAATCTTCCGCACGATAAATAGAATCAGAATACTAACACAGATAGAGGAAATAATAATTAAGAGGTGCTTACAGAAACTGGTCCATCAATATCACATGACATGAAGACAAGGAGGTTAAGATGGTTGGGGCATATGGGAGCAACCAATCTATAAACCTCTACACAAAAATGAATGCCTCAATCAGTGATTCCACCATATTTTTTTAATTTCTCTTTTGGCCAGTCAAATTTTCCCTTTTTTCTCCCACAGAATGAACTTAAAAACCCCTTCTGTTCAAATATTTATATAATTTTTTTTCCTTCCCAACCTTGGAATTTTCCTAAAAAGGGAACTTTTTCACCAAAGTGGATAATATGGTTCTGCCATCGAGAGCTATATTATATGGAATTTTCAGATTTTTGACTGATGTTTTGAAAATTAAGTTAAAATAAAAATCTTGTTAAAAATATTTTTTATTAGACATTACTATCTTTTGAAAATACTATGGTCTTAGGAAACTTAAATCAAATTTTGATTATATAAAAAATTAAACAAGGACCTCACTAAAAATGAACAATCATAATCAAATGGTTTATCATAAAAGTTTAAAAAATATAATATATTTTAATCCTGGATCATTCAGGAAAATATTTAGACCTCACCTCACTAACTCGGATGTGTAAAACTTATCTGATTTAAATATATATATATATATATATATATATATATATATATATATATATATATATATATATGAAGTTTTATTTTTCATAGTCAAAATAAAACTTCAGGATGCAATTAACTGAACAATTAGAAAATGTAGCTTACCTTTCAATAGTAAAGAAAATATCAAACACTCCCAAGCAGATATCAATACTTTTTCATTTAATTGATCAGACATATGAGATAATTCTGGAAGACTAAATTCTAAAACCTTGACCTAAAATTATTTAAGAAGACAATTAATATAATAAAACAATAAAGGAGCACATATTTTACAAATCTATTGTTAAATGTTAAAAACCCAATTTTATTCTATTGGAAAATTACTCAACTAAGTTTTTAGGCACAATTCTTAGAGAGGATGTTATTTAAGCATAAAATTTATTTATATTTTTCTATAAATAAAATAAATTTCCTCTTTGCACAACTGTTGATCAAGAAACGGTACTTCCTTACATAGCATTGAACCAAAGACCCTCCATGGGTTGTAGCGGTTCAGGTTTAGCTTTTACATAAAATTCTCATTAAAGCTTTGTTTGGGATGTCATCATTCTTTCACAAACTGTTCTGACTATTAATTATGTAAACTATCAATGACCATTGTATTACTCAACTTTGTTTGGACTAAAATATTGACTAGCGATTAACTGATGCAGGAAAAAATTACTACTGGTCTTGTTTTTATATGAAATTTAAATTAGAGCTTTAAATTAAATTAAATTTTTTTCTATATATAGATTTAAATCAGAAATTTAAAGAACTGCTTGTGGCACTACTTGTTCAGGATGCCACAACCTGTTACACACACAGTTAATTACGAAAAGACTTTAGAGATCTGCTATAGAAACAGTTTACTCAAGAGCCAATAAGTAGAAGAATTGGAGAACTTCCATTCTCTTTTTAGATGATTGAGTTTATATGAATTATTGAAGTTGCAAGAATTACAGACCAATATGCCTATCCTCTGTAGTTTAAAAATTATATACAAGAATATTGGAACAGAGGCTCAGGAGATTGGTGGAGCATGATCTGGAAGAGGAGAAGGCTGGCTTTAGATCAGGGATCATATTTTCTCATTAAGAATGGTTGTTGAGAAAGCATGGGATAGAGGAAGAAGGCTATTTATGGCATTCCTGGACTTGAAGGCTGCATTTAATTCGATTCCTCGCCAAAAACTTTGGAATTCTCTACAGAAAAAACGGGTGGCATCTAATATTATCAGCGCTATCAAATCTGTATACCAGGATCCCAAGGGAATTGTGCCGCTTAACGGATCTGAATCAGAACCATTTGGGTATTATAAAGGCCTCAAGCAAGGTGACAGCCTAAGCCCACTACAATTCATCATATGCATGAATGAAATATGGAAGATTTGTAAGCAAAGGACACCCAGAGGAGCAGTGAGGTACAGGAATTTAATTCCTGTGCAGGCTCCTTTATGCAGATGACGTGGTCCTGATTACCAACACCCAAGAAAGGCTTCAAATGACTGTCAATGAATGATCAGAAGAACGAGAGAGGAAGGGAATGGAAATAAACCCTACAAAAAGTAAGGTGATGCTCGATCGCCGAGATGTCGAAGAGAAAGTTCTCATAAAATATAATAATGAGCCATTAGAAAAGGTAGATAACTACCAGTACTTGGGCATGATTTTGAGCAGAGGATCGACCAGGAGATTTTAAATAGAGTCAAGAAGGCCAATGGTGTATTTTACTCTATCTGCACTACAATACTAGCGAAAAAGGAGGTAAAGAAGAAAACAAAACTAGCTTTGTTTAAAACAGTATTTCTACCTGTCCTTTTGTATGGTGCAGAGAGTTGGACGGTCGTAGACAAACATGCAAGTAAAGTAACGGCCATAGAAATGAGATACCTCAGGAGAGTTCTTGGAAAAACATGAAGAGACTGCTGAAGGAACGCGAAGAACTGAACATAAGGCCTGTAAAAAAGTCATGGAGCACCAACTGAAAGGCAAAATGGTTCCTAGAAGCAGCAACACCAGAGGGAAGGCTACTTTGACTTAGGTCCGGACTGTTATATTGTGACTACATGGAGAGACTCAGGTGAGCCCGAGGTAGCACCATGGTGGATATGAGAAGGGCCAGTGGTAGGGAATGGGTCATCAGTGGACGAGATGGGTCGAGGCTGTTCTTCCATGCTGATGGCACCAAGGAGGTAGCAAAATAAGAAGAATTATTGAAGGAAGTTAGTCAACTGTTCTACATATCATGGGCGATAAATAGAAAAGTGATACATACTGAGTATTTGAACACCTTCAGTGCTCGAAACAGGCCCTCATAATGACCCACATACTTTGGTTGAAACGTCGGCACCAATAAAAAATTTAAAAATGACTGTGATCTATGACTATTTATAATCTATGGTAAGGTTATATGCTATAAAGTCAGATACGCATATTAGAGTTTATCAAATGCCAAGTGAATATTAAATTATTTAATATGTACTCTTTGTAAGGCTTTTAGAGATATGAGGAAAAGATCAATGGAAGTGAAGACAAAGTTCCATGCTTTTTGTTATACACAGGTCTATCATAGATGGATTATAACAAATGATCGCAGATTGCGAAATAATATAAAAATTAGGAATTAAAGGAACAATACTTCCTTCACTCAAGTTCAATTAAATATCCTAGAAAATAACTTAGGATAAGTGTAAGAAGATACACTTCTCAGGTAACTTATAACAGTTAAATAAGAACACATTTATGGGATACATAAAAGGAAATCGCTAAAGATTTTGAATCAATTTTTAAATAGATCGTGAAAAATCAATTTATTTTTTGTCTGTTTATTCATAAGTTAAGGAAATAGTTTGTCTTCAGAACTAAAATTAACATAATCATAAAAATAAATTCCTTCATACCATACTAAGAGATGTCATATTAATTAGCAGTGATTCCCAAAGAGATGCATTCCATATTTTGTAAGTTATGCAAATCTTCGCAGAAAGTGAAATTGCTCCAGGGCATGAACGTTTAATTAAAGTTGTAACAATTTGTTCTTTAGAGCAACTTTCAAATCCAGCAACTGAATAATCCAAAGCAAATTTTTCTAACTCAGATATGAATTCCAAAGTTAACATATAATCTCTGAAAAACAAAACAAACAAGCAAATATTAAAAGCAGATTTTCTTGAAAACAAATAATTTTCTTTATTTACTGTTGTATTAGGGAGAACGGAAAGTAATGTCGTTTCTGAGCATATCACTATTTGACTGTCACTTGGTAGCTCATTGTGTACATTTGAAAAGACATTTTAAGGTTTTAGAGACTACTATAGTTGAAATTAATTAAATTAAATTTTTGATGAAATGGTCAGCCAAATAACAGAAGAGATACATATCTGACATTTCATGCTTTTTAAGTTTCGTAAGGGTAGTAACTCAACAGTTGCTATCAAAAACATTTGAAATTTTTATCATTTATTATTTTATTTATTACGTTTGTAAATGCCAAAGGTGGTTTTTCAAGTTCAAATCCGGTAATTTTGATCTTATTGACTTGTATCAATCAAGAAGACCAACAATGTTAGACTATGACGTGTTAAGGGCAGAAGTCAAAGCAAATCTGTGTCAGACAATCTAAGAGTTGTCAAACAGCTTTAACTAACCTTGGTTGACCATCCCAGAGCATTTGCAGCAGATTGGGGACAACCATATGCAAGTTATTGCTTCAACGAAACAATACAGAAATGTTTTTTGATACCTTGATCACAGAAGATGAAAAATAGTTCCTGTATGGTAATACAAAACGTATAAGGCAGTGGCTCTCTCCAAAAGAGAATAGCCACAAAGTACTGCTAAGCCTGGTTTACACACCTTTTGTGTGTTTGGTGGAGTATTCGTGGCGTTGTTCATTTTGAAGTGCTGAAACATGGACTAAATGTGAATGCAGACCTTAATCGTGAAAAATTGGGTCGTGTAAATCAATCTTTAATTGAAAAGTGGCCAGCGATTGTCAACTGAAAAGAACTTATTCATTCTGCAACACAAAAATTCAAGATCAAACTGTGTAAGAGGAACTCTGGAAAAAATTAATGAATTGGGATGGGAGGTACTATCACATCCACCATATTCACCCGATGTTGCAACATCGGATTTCCATCTGTTCGGATCATTTTAACACTTTCTAAGTGCCAAAAGATTTGCAAATTTAAATGATGTCCAAAATACCATCTCTAATTATTTTGCTAAAAAATCAATTATTTTTATCGAACTTGCATTGAAAATTTGTACATTAGATCGCAAAAGGTTGTTGACAATGAGTGTGATTCTCCCAATGATTAAAAATAAAAACTTGTTAAGAATTTTTGTATTTGAATTTAATGAAAGCAAACAACATTACTTTCTGTTTCTCCTAATATAATGCCAAACACAGCAGTAACTGACATGAAGCAATATAATGTAAAAAAGATTAGCCACACATAGGATATTTCACATATGTCTACACAACACATAAGATATTTCAAAGTATAAATAGAGTAAAAGTTAAAAGCAATTAGAGTACCTTATAGAAGAAATATCTCTTGCTGTCAAAATTTCCAAATCTTTATTGCTGTTGATAGCTCTAAGGCACTGAAGGGCCCTTAATCTTGTTCCGGCCGATTTAGTTCGTTGATCTTGACCAAATGCTATGTTCACAAGATGGTTTTCCAATTGGCGGATTTCACTATAACCGATGAGAATATAGCACGCCCTAGAAGCATAAGTATTGATATTGAAACAAGTGTAAAAAAAAGAAAAAGACAATGATTTGTTTCTCTAATAATTCATTATAAAAAAAAAAAACACTTTTCGCCAGCTAATCAACATTTATAACCTCATAATGCATTCTAAGAAGTTTCAGTTCATAGTCTAGTTATCTTAATAACTGAAGTTCGATTTACAGTAATTTTTAGCAAATATTCACTTCATTAAGTATATGGCATTACAATGATAATGGTACTAGGCTATGTAGTTTCACTTAAAACATTTCGTTATTTATTTAATGAAATTTATAACTGTATAAACAATACAACTAGTAAACATTCATACATTAAAAATAATGACATGAACAGACTTGAAGATCAGGAGGCCCTTGCTCCCTTGAGGAACACCAGCAAACTGGGAAAAGAGGGATGAACATGCATTATTATGATTTACTTTGAAGTGTTGATCAGTAAGGTATGAATGGATAAAGAGGAAGTATGTAGGTGGTAGGAATTTACGGAGTTTGTACAGCGGAGTGCCAGACTATCAAATGCCTGTTCAACGTTGAGAAAGACTCACGTACAGTACATTTTGCGTTGTAGTGTAGAGGAGACTACGTCTACCACACGATGACACTGCTGAATAATGGAATGAGATGTGCGGAATCCAAATTGGTGATCAGAGATTATATTATTAGAATCTAGGATGGGGTACAGGCCTTTGAAGATGAGTTTTTCCAGGATTTTGCCCATGATTGGTAAAAGAGAGATAGGACGGTAAGAGGATGGGTATTCAGGTGGCTTTTTGGGTTTGGGGATCATTTTGACAATCGATAGTTTCCAAGGATCAGGGCTTAAAACATTTAAATAAAATAACTGCCAATCCCTACACTATTTCATAAGTAAAAATAATTACTGCAGGAGTGTATCCGGATTAATGAAAAATTTAGGAAGATTATTTTCAATGAAACGGCTCAATATATACAAAATAAGAGGGAACTCAATATATACATACCACTTTAATATCTGAATACATAGGTATATATAAAATGTTGATTTTTTTCTTTTGTCCTATAGAACAAAAATTATGTATTTAACGTAGATATATACCTGGAACATTAAGCAACATTTTTTCTAAAATTGACAAACCAGAAATGGAACTTTACATAATTAATTTTACAATGTTCTGGAAAAGATCTTTAATGATTTTGATTAAACTTCATTATAGATTTTTGATATCTGGAAAGTATTATTCTCACTTAAATTTGTTTATTTAAAATAATTAATGCTTTAAAATTGTAACTTTAAATATAAAACATAAATGAATTTTTGATTAAATAATGGAAAAATAAGGACTATTCAGATGAGATCGAAAACCAACAAATAAATACTAACTTCTTAAAATAGCATTTTAATCGCTACGCCCTGAACAACTCCTCATTTGATTAGATAGGTTATGACAATATGAAAATTAAAATTTTTCTATGTACCTATGCTTAAACAAATAAAAATATCAACAGTAATAGAAAGGTTTCTCGCTGAGGTGCAATGTCAATGAGACCAGCATTTCTCAAAATGTTTTAACTGTAGCTTTCTTGCCAGACTAAAAAACACTTGTGCCACTATTATAACAAAATAAATAATTAAAATACATAATTATAAAAGAAAATGGACAGCGAAGAAAAATGCATGAAGTTAAAAATTTAAATGGAACACTATACCTTCATGCTTCATTGTCATTATATTTTTTTTTTTTTTTTTTATAAAGGAACATGAGGTATTGTAACAAGCAAGAGAGATTTATGTTTTGGCATGGATATTTATGTTATAAGGGAAATTAAGTTCATTAATAGTAGGGATGTAATTATAAAAAAAATAAATACCTGATAATATTATCTGAATACTGAAGAGCAGATGAAGGAACAGCAAAGCTGTCATCAAAAGAATTATTCAACGAACTATTAGGCTGTAACCAATCTGTTAATAATTCAGTTATTACGGACGTCAATTTTATGTCATATAAATCAGCTATACGTTTCACAGCTTTATTAATATCTGAAAAACATAAAGTACTCATGAAATTAGAATATTTAAAACATCATTTATGGAGTGAATATAAATATCTTTATAAATGTTTTGATTATTAAGGTGGTATATAATAGTTTTAAGATTTAAAAAATCTCAGCACCGATTAATGGAGTATTTTAATTATGTAGAACATTTTAATTATATTTAACGAAGTGAATAAAAAAACAGTCAGTTTTAAAGTGTTCACGAAAACTACTAACAATATTAAAAATATTAAAACTTAAAATATGTATGCGACTTCTTTATATGGGAACATATGTATATAACATTCATTAAAAAAATTGAATTTGCATAAAAATCAAATTTTATATCGAATTTGTAATTTTAAGTTACTCTTGTATGTCTTGATATTTAGATGAACTTCTACAATACTTTTTGTTTTTAGTGTTAGTAGATTGTGAAGGACTTGTATCCATGCCATTTTGTTTCCTGTTGTCCATCAAATATAGAGAAGGAAAATGAAATCCTGCATACACACCAAAATGCCAGGCCCCATATGGTAGCTCTAACAATCTCCTAAACACAGGAAATGCACTGGACTCGACTTAGTCATCCTCCTTACAGCCCTTGCATATCGCTCTGAGATTACCATTCCTTTAGATTGCTCATTTGCCTTAAAGAAGCTCTAGGAGGAAATGGATTATAAAAATGACAAAGGCATAGAGGGATTGATGTGCAATTAGCTCCAGATGCAACCAGCTTCATTCTACAATGCCATTTTAATTTAAAAAATCTTCTTTCTCATCAGGAACAATTTATTTCTAAAGCAGAGAACTATGGGAGAAAATAATATTTTGTTCAATAAATGAATTTAAAATAAAATAAAACCTCATTTATATTTTTTTTACCCACATACAAACAGAAATAACAAATATGATATAGCTAGAACATTATGGAACCTTAAACTCAGATACAAACACATGATTAAGACTTCTTTAAAATATGGTGATAAAATGAAGAAAATGTAAGTATCAATAACTGATATTGATAATTAACCTGGTTTAGGTGCAGTAAAGTCTGTAGTCCTGGTAACAATTGAAGGATCATGATATAATGCAGTAATGAGATTCACTGGCTGTAATGACACAGATAAGTATTCTGGTTTTGCAAGCTGATATTTGTATAATATATGGTATGTAGAAACTGTCAAGTATTTCTTCTCAGCCTAATAAAAAAAATCCATTAAACTTTATTTAAATAGTTATATAATATATGTTTAGTGATTATGTCACTTCCAAGCTATAATCATTTGATTTAATTAGTTAAAAGACATAAGTTTGATTCATCAAATGCCATATTTTCAAAAACAGATGCTTACTTATGTAACTATTTTATACAATGTATAAAGTAGATTTGATTATTTTTATAATTATTATTTTATCTTTAATTTGTATATTGATTGAATTTCAAAGCAAACTAACATTATTCCTACATGCAAATTTATAATAATACCTTTACTAATCCAACACGAGCATTTTCAGATTTTTCCATCGAGTACCATTCCTGAGCTTTGAGATAACATCTTTGAGCAGCATCAACTCGATCCGCACCTGGAAGTTATAATAAACTCAATATTTTCTAATAACGATAAGAAACGATTTGTTCAAATATTCATTTTTATCTTAAGTATTCCAATGTACCTGGTGGCATTATGTAATTTACAACACAATAGGATGCAGCCACAGCAGTTTCTATATTTTTTATCTTACAAATACATTCTTCTATATCATTCATGAGCGATTTATATTGGAAATGTAGATTCCATTCAGAATTATTCGGTATTTCTCCTTTCTAAACGTAAATAGATAAATTATTAATCATTTGAATAATTTTAATTGTTTAATTAAATCCACATAAAACATACCAAGTTCATAATAGTGAAGGAACAAATCACATCTTTGTCCAAAGACACACTGAACCACATGGGAGCGTCTAACCATAATTTATATGTTTTGAGGCTCAATTCTGGTTCTGTAAAATAAAAAAATGTATTAAGGGTTATTTCACTTAATAAATAATATATTTTAAGGATTTCATATCTTCAATTCGATTAGTATTTATTATTTACTTAGCCATTAATATTGAGAAAACTATATGATAAGAAATTTGACAGGGTTATTGTACTTTCATTAAAATTACCTAAAAATTCGGAAATTCAATTCCAAAGAATAATACTTTGTTAAACTGGATAGAAATGTTATTTTTATTTTTAATAATTTCTAATTCATAAAAATTCATGAATACTCATTTTTTATACACATGAATCGTAAGTTAATTTTATTAAAAAAATAAGAGAAATAAAGTGGCCTACAAAAATATTGGGTCATTTAGCCTATATAACCTCGTTATTTTGATAAGTTAGTGGTGGAGATTACGCCAAATGGTTCAATATTTTAGTAGGCCTTTTTTTTGTCTCGATTTTGTGATCAAATTATCTCATGATTCAAGTAGAAAGCGAAGAGTGACCATGAGTTTTTAATGCCTCATTAAATAGACCAAGTTTACTAATCTCCAGATTCAAAAGGTCTCATTTCAGAGAATTTTTGTAAATAAAAAAGGTGTAGGTTACAATAAGATGAAGCCATTTATGACAATTTAGACAATGTTAATTTGATAAAAAGATGTCTGTACCGTGGACTAGTAGTCCAACGTTAATCCAAAAAACGTAGTATTACACCAAAGATACTAACTTATTATTTTCCAGGGGTCAGGAGGCAATGGTGCAAAGGGGAGGCGATATTTTGAAATCTGAGGCACTGTAGAGACATCAGGAAAGTAATGGAACCAATTATCTGTTTCTTCACTAGAAAGAACACTGAAAGCAGAAAATATTCAGTTTTATAAGTCTCAAATTAAAAATAACCTCCTATGGAAGTAATTCTATCCAATATAAGGGAAATATACCTGCATATTGGTAAGTTGTAAGTAATGTGACATCTACGAATATTTAAACTAGGCATTGTAGTTGGATGCTCTTTACCTGCTCTCTCTTCCTCCAAAAAAAACCCAACACTCTTTGAGATGGTGAAAAGGATGATGATGTCAATTTACCAATGAGTTTAAGAAAATATGCAAGTGCATTTCACTTAGATTGGATAAAGTTATTTCTCTAGTTGGGTATTTTTAAAAAATAATTATGTTAACGTTTTTAGTTATTTAAATATTGGCAATTAAATTTACACATGATATGATAAAAAACTTAAATACGTTTGAGAATATTTTAAATATAATAAAATATTTTTTGAGTATTTTGAGCTCAAATTGCTTCAAAACATTTAAGGGCTACCACCAAGTAATTTGGGCCATCAAACTCAAAAATTGGTTGAGTTGTTTGCTCAAAAAATTGTTACATATATATTTTAATGGACAGATAGTCCTAACTAGGGTGACCCCTGAAAGAGGCCATATACCAAGATTAGCAGACATTGTGGGACAACAGCATTCCAAATAAACTGAATCCATGAATTCATGGCTTGACTCTTGTTTGTTTCCAGGGGGAAACTAATTAGAGTACATCCTAATGTTATAAAGATTGTTAAATTTTTGCATGCAATCCTAATACTTTTTCTACAAAAAAGACTGAGCTTGCAGAATGCAAACTAATGAATATTGATTTAAAAAATCAAGTTGTAATGATTACAGTGAGGACAGATATGAAATAACTAATTAAATCAATAGCTACTTTTATTTTAAAAAAATGTTTGCTTTCATGTAACTCAACAAAAACTTCAGAGGCTCATTTGCCTACTGGTGTTGCTACAAGGGGGCTGAGGTGGACCACAGTGCTCTAGGCAGTTCTTTTTAAAATCCTTGATAAATGAAATCTCTATATACACTTTTGCAACTTTGTTGGCCCAATCACAGATTATCTGTGGTCAAGAGATTTAAAAATTTGATCAGAATTTGTCAAGGAAATCTTGAAATTTAAACTTTATTAATTGGTGATGGAATTAACTTACTACTCCTCAGCGTTTAAATAGTATTTACTTGCTAAGAATACTTATTTATTGAAGATAACATCATGTTTTAATCCAAATATGTTTTTTTTTTTCAACAAAAAAGTCTGATGTTTAAACTAGTTCAAATACTTAAAAAAATAAAATAATATTTGATGATTTTTATTGAACTATATAAATATATTTTAAAATACTAACCTAATTCTTTCATATGACATTAGGAATAATAATAATTGCAGGTGCTGACGGAATAATTCTTGATGAGTTGGTGACAACTTAATGATGAGATCAACAATCACTATATGAACTTCATAATAGTAAAAATTTACCTGGTTATAAGAAAAATAATTATTTAAAGTATGCTAAAAATGTAAATTCAATAAATTAAAAAATAAATTACCTTTTGAAGAACATTTTTTTTAAGATAATCTACCAGGTCATCACTATTTCTTATAAGAGCTTCAATTTGAGAACATTTTAAAAATAAATCATCCTTTTTTGTTAGAAGCTGCAATTCTATAAATAATAAAATTTAAGTAACTGTAGAGTGATAAAATGTTCTTGTTTAAGAGGAAATCGCAAAGATTAATCATTAAATTAAACTAATAACTAATATATTCAGAGTCGGTAAACTTTAGAAGCTAAATAGCTAAAGTTATATATTAATAAATATTTTAAAAAAATACAATTCATTGAATAACCAATTCACCCAAAATAGAAAGTTTTGTAAATAATGTATATCTAAATAAATTACATCTAATAGTGATAATATTTTTGTTTACAAATTTGCCACAAGTGTCTTAAAAAAATTTATAAAGCAACTTTTAATACACTTGTCATAATTATCTAAGCAATTTAAATAACCCATGGTTTGTTAGAAAGCAAAAATCTGCACTTTTTATTACTTATAAATTATTCTTTGCAAACAAAACATAGGATAAGGTCATTTGAGTTCGCAAGCCATTTTCTTTGAATTGAAAGAATCTGTTTATGACGAGGTTTGGTAGCTGGCCCTGATCTTAAGACCTCACCAACAATACTTTATTGGTAAAGTGAATGAAAATATTTATTTTCAAAGAATCTCAGAAATATTCTTAAATCTGTCAGGAGCCAGGTTTTGCTGATCTCTGACCTAAGCTACAAATTACAACCAATACAAAAAAAGTCAAAATAATATCTGTTTTTAACATTATATAAAATGAGCCAATATCATCTGAATTGGTCTGTGATAAGGAGGCAATGTTCGTAGATATTTGTGTTATAAATTTCTGAAAATGCAGGTCTGAAAAGCATAAGTTCTGGACAGGAGCAATTAATATGCAAAAGCTCTTCTTGGTACTGATGTATCCATAATAATAAATAAAAAATAATTTACAAAGTAGATCACACAAGTTTTTGTTTTCTCAAACATCGAGGAGTAAGATAAAGCATTGGAATCTTAACTAACGGCCTGGGTTCGAGTCTGACATTGGCAGAAAAGTTATTTATAAAATATCAGCTCTAGCTTAGCTAGAGATTCTCCAGGGGCATCCCTTTATATAACTAGTCCTTCAGGGAAAAATTTGGTTATTGGGAATGAATGCAAAACACAAAAGCTCATTACAAATCATAGGTAAAGGAACAGTATTATTTCTTTACCATCTGCTGAGTACACAAAAATTAATGATTTATATTGGTACAGGACTTTTCTCAAAATATTATTCAGATGGGATAGAAATTAATTTTATTAACAGACTGTCAAGTTCATTTTAAATTTTATAGCTATACTTAACTAAGATGTATGCCAATTTTCATTGTATTATCCTAAATAAAATTATTTTTCCAGTTAAATTAATTTAGTTCTACTTGTAATGAATAAGAAAAAAAATCTGACTTTTTTTTCATAAAACTTTTATTAATGACAATGATAGTACCTGACTTTCCAGTTTTGGGATTTGTAACTTCTTCAAATTTTGGTTTCCATGTGAGTAGAGTATGTTCTAAATATAGCTTAAGACATTCTTGAAAACTAAAACTCATATCCTTACAAAAATTATGAATCAATGCTAAATCAATTCCCTGACAATTCATCAAACTCAATAGGAGGGTTCTTTTGCCTTCATGAGTTTCACAACGACTATCTGCCACTGAAGTAAAAACAAAACACATTCAAGAACAATATTAAAATATTAACAACTTATATAAATCAAAATCAATATTAGGAGTTTTAAAAATAAAAGTTACTAAAGCTTATTTGGTTTGCAAATGCACCTTAATAATATTGGGTGGATCCATAAGTTTGTTCAGTTTTTATTAGTAGTACGAAATGGTTTCAAATATTTCCAGTTCTCTTTGCCTTATCTGACAATAACGATACTTATCGGAAATGTCAAAGTCTACACTTTGAAACCGTTTTGTTTGGTTTCATTGGTATTAGTTTTGTTTATGCTACAATGTAGTAAATATGTCAAATAATAAAGTGCATTTTTATTTCAAACAAGGCAAGTGAGCTTCGGAGGTCCACTGAAAGATATGTAATTTCTTCAAATTCCATTTCAGAGATATTGCACTCCGCAATGGTCGGCCCCCGAGGTTGATGCAAGTGATATCCAGGCTCTAATTGAACAAGATCAGTAACTACAGGTATGAGACACTGAAAATAGGTTTTGAAACCGTTGAAAGGCATTTAAAACAGCTTGGCTATGTATAGCGCCTTGATATTTAGGGATCACACAAACTGACTGAGGCAAACATGGCCAACCGAATATCAATCTACTGATGAGTCGCCTAGTGCCACCCTGAAGTCCGGAAAAGATTTTGCTCTACATATGGTGGAACTATCGCGGCGTGCTGTTTTACCAGCTGCTTCCACAAGGAAAAAGGATTGATTTGAAGATCAATTGCACTCACCTAATGAAATTGGACCAAGCAAGCATTGCGACAGAAACGTACAGAAATAGTCAATTGCAATGGTGTTATATTCTAACAAGACAATGTCAGACCACACGCGGTAACAATCACAGTAAAAGTTGTGCAACTTGGCTGGCATGTTTTATTACATGCACCGTATTCACCAGACCTTGCACCTTCCGACTACCACTAATTCCATCCCCTCCAAAAAACTCTCAACTGGAAATCGAGAGATGTGAAAACGTATCTAGATCAGTTTTTTTGCTTCTAAGCCCCAGATGTTTTACGAGAGTGGAATAATGAAATTGTTAGAAAGATATCAAGAAGTCATTAATAAAAACGGTAAATACATTATAGAATAAAATTTATTCTTTGTATGAAAGAAACATGTTTTATTTCAATCCTTCAAAAACTGAACGACCTTATGGATCCAACTAATAATTTTAATTTCAAAACAATTTGGAGATGAAATCTGTAAAACCTGATATTTAATTAAAAGATAAGGTAAAATAAAAATAACAGTTAAAAATACTATTAAGAGAAAAATTACCTTTAGGTGGAATTCCAAAACGTTGTAACTTTCTAAACCATTCACTTTTCAAGTATGTTTCAGCAAAAGTTCTATAGTTAAATTTTTTTTTAGTGAGCATTGAATAATACTTCCCGACTAAAGCTACCGATGAGGAATTTTTCAAGTTTCCTATTTGATTTCTGAAAACAAAAATCAATATTGATAAAATAAATCAAGAAATAATTTCTATCCCCACATATATTATTTCTCCAAGGCTCTGTTTTGTACTGAATATAAGCTCCAGTCATTCTTAAATGACATACCATTGGATTTAGAAGTTCATGGTGGGTTAGTGAATCATACTTTCTGTCTTTGTTTTTCTTTTTCTTTAAAATAAATAAAGTCAATATAAATATTTAGCTAGACTTCAATATTGGGACATTGTTAAGTTGGATAGTGATGAGACACTATGAGTGTTAAGTTCTGTGGAACTACCAGGCCCAGCGTTTTAAATAATGCAAGATAAAGGATTTGCAGCCACACAAGTTCACATTAATTGTATTGCTGCCATGTGATACATAACTAATGATGGTTGCTATGAAAAAAAGAAGAGTTTATATTATTTCTCAAACATTTTTTTTTCCCCCCGATATACCATATCTTCATTAAATCCAATAATTGAGTCATCATTTTGAAGATTTCATTCTCCTTCAGGTAGGAACAATAGTCACATCACCCCAAAATTTCAGGCAAACAATTTATGAAGAAAAATAATTTGCTAATAACTCAAAAATTATCATTATTTTTTCAATGATCATTATTTAAAAGGTTGCTAAAATCCCCTCCCGCAGAAAAAAAAATCATTGAAATCGTAATTTCTCCAATTAGATTTTTATTATTATTATTATTTTCTATTATTCTTATTTTTGGTTTATATTCTTTAAAAAAGCTGTATTATAACCCATTTATTTGGCATATAACGATAGTATGAGTAAAATGTTAAAAAAATTTTTACCGACCGAAGGAATGTTCCTTTAATCCTACAGAATTGAATCACTGCACTTTGTAGTGGGTTCAAATATTTTTATTTGTTCACTGACCAATTTACTTTGTGAATTATTCTTATGCGCCAAATAGCTATATAAATCAATATTTTTAAATCTGGAATTCCGTTCTATACAACTTTAAATTCATTTAATTTAAAACCAATGAAATAAATGATACTTCTTTGTAAAAAATATTGACAACTAAAGCTTAAAATGAATAGGGTAAAGAATTTTTATTCTTGTTAGTGAAAAATGAAGTGAAACATAACTTATAAATAATAATAATATGTGTGTGAGCATATATTTAATAATAATAAAAAATACAGAATAACATTATAATATAAATAATAATGAAGAGAAGAATAGTTGGGATGGTCAGTCAAAAAAGAAGGCAAAAATAAATGATAATATTTATTTTTACATATGCTGACGTTTCGACCTGAAGTTCAGGCCATCATCAGGGCTAAGAAAAGAACAAGTATAATTATCTTACAAGATAACAAGGTATGAGAAATATAAAAATTTTCTCATACCTTGTTAGCTGGTTCTTTTCTTAGCCCTGATGATGGCCTGAACTTCAGGTCGAAACGTCGGCATATGTAAAAATAAATATTATCATTTATTTTTGCCATCTTTTTTGACTGACCACCCCGACTATTCTTCTCTTCATTATCCACGACAGTCAACCATTTACCAATTATAAATAATAATAATTAATTCAAGAAAATTGAAAATAAATAAGACACATAAATGAAAACAAAAAAAATTAAAAATATAATCAAACCTTTTGTAGGTATCAAGCCACCTAAAGGCATTTTCTTGCTGGAATAAACTGAAAAGACTCAAAGCTAATTGTAAATCAACATTCCTCGAAAAAACAACCCTAATTAGGACATTACTTAGTTTATCTTCCATTAAAAATTCCATTTGTTTTAAATTTGTTAAAGCCTGAAAAAATTTTAATTTTAAAATAAGCTGTAAACAAAATGATCAAAACCCATAAAACATAGATAATAAAATAATTTATAAATATAAAAAATACATAAGCTTAGTTGGCTTGTTATTTTAACAATGAATTAATGTTTTTTTTTAAATATTGTTTGCTAGCATTATAGGAGATTAGTCAATACTCACTTCAAATGGAAGTAATGTCCAAATGATAGTCTGAATTCTATAAATAGAAGTTAAGTTGTATGGTAAATCACGAAATGTACTCTGAAAAAAACAAAAACAAAAAAATACATTTAGGCAAAAGTTAAACAAAATGTAACTTAGTCAAAATATATTTAAATAGTGAATATTTTGAACAGATCTTAATAATAACAAAACATGATTAGATATAACCTTTCAAAAAATATTAATGAATATTACGTTATGGCGAAAAATATCACAACAAATAAACTATTACTTGTAATTTGGACCTGAGAATAAAATTTTAATACCACATTCATTCCAACAGATTTGTGTGAAAGACTTGATAAGTCTCACTGAAACTAAACAGTCCCAGTTATTCAAATAGTGTTCCGAAAGTTTTTATATATTACTTGTTTCTATATCTGTATTAATATTTTTATAAAAACTAAAATCTTATGCTTTATAAGATTTATCAAGGTACCTCAACTTCTTGAATAAAATCCTGGCCCATTATTCCTTTATCACCAGAGTTAACTGTAAAAAAATAAAATAAAGAAACCATTATAACAACCATATATGCATTCAGTAGATAGTATACAGGATCAAGATATTTATTTATACATGTCACAATATCATTCTACATATATTATTTATATCCATCAGACAATTCCTAAACTCATCAATGGAATTCAGCATGTTTTTTTATTCAATGATTGAATCGCCGATGATTGGGCAGTTAAACATTTAGCTTTTGAGGCAGATGGAGCCAGTGGATGTAACCTCTGACCTCAGTATCGTTATTTTCCAATTTACATTACATTTTTATGTTTAGTTTATATTCTATATAAATTTATTTGTTTTCAATTCACTAGGTAGATATTTCTCGATCGCAGGCCATTTCTGAACTCAGTATAAATTGCTGTACATCGGTACTGGGTTTATGAACTTGCCCTTTACACGTTGATTGGGATTGAAAATAATTTATATAATAGTACAATTTACTAAGTAAAACATTAGATTGGAATGCAAGTGAAAATAAATTTAACTAGTTGAAATTTAATTGCTATATATGAGTATTACATATATATACAACAAACAAGTTTAGTTCAAATCCAAATGGTAATCAAAATATGAGAGCATAAAGTCTACTAATAGATAAGTCATTATCAGATATTTGAGAAATGGATATTGAATAAAAAGGGGTTGAAAACAAACATTCAGTTTTTATCCTTCTGAAAAAATTTTAGGGCTAGGAAATATTTAAATCTATAGAAATAGAAGAATAAGAAAAAGTGAATAAATATAAAATAATTATTCAATTAAATTCAAGTTAAAAATAACAAAATAAATACAATAGAAATGGTAAATTGATTACCTTTAAATACTTTCTGACATAGTACCGGAGAAGGTTGAACGCTGGTAATTTCTGTTTCAGTGTACATATGTTTAAAAACTTGAGAAACCATAACAGGTTTTGAACAATAGGAAAGAGTTGCTAATGAAATAAGATCTAAGACTTTTTTCCCATTTCCTATAAAAAAAAAAATTAAAAATTATTTTAAATACATTACTATGTAAACTTGAAGGGTAATTACATTTTTGAAGCTAATTTTTATCTGATGTAGACATGTGCCAAAGGAATAACTAGTAGGATTGAGAATGTTTAAAGAATGCCTTCAATAGATTTCCTAATACTTCTTTAAGCAATTATCATCAGTTTTTCAAGTGAGCTGTTTCTCAGAAGATAGCAAATGAGATCACCTAAGACTTTATATTTCTATCCCATTAATAAAAGAACTGCTGAACTTAATTAAAATATAATAATGAAAACTTATTCATTTCCACTTTTAAATTTAAAGAGCTTAGGTTTGGATTGGGGAAAGTTAAAGATTCTTAAAAAAATGTAGAACATAATAAAGAAGTTACAGATTCAGTCCCATTTAAAGAAATAAATACTTTCCACAATAACACACAAAAACATTAACTACTAATATCTAAATTTTTGACCTTTTATACTAAAATTAAAATACAAACAAAAGCTTAAGAAGTCATAATTGTAAACATGGGAGAAAATTGAATATTTTCAATTTGTAAGATAATTTTTCTCAAAATCCAAGGAAAAATAATAAATAAAAACTGAAACTAAAAAACAAGTGTTGTATTAGCTTCAAATAACTTTATATCTTTACTAGCCTAATTAAAATAACTTTTTTTTTTTTTTTTTTTTTTTTTTTTTTTTTTTTTTTTTTTTTTTTTTTTTTTTTTTTTTTTTTTAGGAAGCCTACGTTTATACATTTTTCCAAGGTTAAGGCAAAAATTACTCCCATTTTTCTTCAGTTCTTTTAATTACATCTGTTATATCTTACGTTTCGGGACAATTTTCCCATCATCAGAGTATTCCAATGTTTATTTTGTGATGTGGCACTAGTTGTCAAAAATTTAATAATTGTCATATCCATTTAATATTTTTTGGTGTAACACATTCATTTCTTGTTCATTATTATACCAACTAACATCTGGCTATCTCCAGTTCCCTCCACTCCATGGATACAATTATTAAATTTTTGACAACTGGTGCCACATCACAAAATAAACAGGAATACTCTGATGATAGGAAAATGTCCCGAAACGTAAGATATAACAGATGTTATTAAAAGGACTGAAGAAAAATGGAAGTAATTTTTGCCTTAACCTTGGAAAAATAACTTATAACGAAAGTAGATAGAACTATACTTTAGTAAATAAAATCTTTTATATGCGAATGATAACCTCATACCATAGATGGGCATATTCATATTCAAGATTACGATTACAGAGATCTTTATTACGAAATTACAGTTATCAGGCTTCCGATTACGATTGTAATCAGGTCACATTTTTGCTATATTTATAGTGTAATTGAATCAAATATAAAATTGTTTTATTTTCAGTAATCAACGATTCTCATTTTGAACATCTCTGCCTCATACTGATCATAAAATTTCAAAGGATACACAAATATGGAACTAACTCACGTATGTATATTGCTTCTATTCAATTCATGAGATTAATTCATTTTCTTATGCGCAAAAGTATATCACTTGTGGTCATAGACATGTAAAGCTAATTATAACTATTAATTAGTTACAAAGAATGTAGATTTTACTTGGTATGAATATTTTTTTCTGATTACAAAGATAAAGTAAAAAAATAAAAAGTATATGTAATAGAAGAAAAAATAATACATACTTGATGAACAGAAAAGAGCAATCTTTTTCAGGAGGTTGTAACAAGCTGAACCTACATTTTCATCAATTTTATTTTGGCTAATGGTGATTTGAAGAAATTCAGATATAAATTCCAATATTTTATCAGCATGTAAATCAAAAAATTGTGTTTCGCTTTTCAGTAATGTCCTGAGGAAAAACAATCACTTAGAGATAAAATATTAATTTAACTTAAATAGATCAAATATAAATCATACCTGGCAACATAAGCACCAAGATTGATTAGATGAGATTCTGCGCAATAGAAACCTAATGATAATAAACCTTGCGATTTAGGTAGATTAAGCAAATATGCAACATGACATGTATCTTCGGTAATCTGTTTCACTTTGCTACAATCGTCTGAAAGACCTGAAAAAATAAAGACAGACACAATACTAAACAAATTGCATTAAAAAACAAAATAATATAAAAGCAGTTTTGATAAGTAAACCTATGAAATAGTTTGTTATTCACGACTTTCATAAAAACATAGGATCGTAGAAATATCTTTGTTTTTTTTTAATGCAGAGTTCTTTTAGACTTGGTATTCCCGAACATTTCCATATTGAGACCCACTATTAACCCTATTTAGGCCACGGTATCCACATGAATTCCACTACTTTGATTTTTATTTTAATTTCTCTTAAATCATGGAGTAGTTAATGCTTCCATATGGTCTAGTATACTATCCTGTTTTTATAAAGAGAAGAATAGTTGGGGTGTTCAGTCAAAAAGGAAGGCAAAAAATAAATGATAATATTTATTTTTTACATATGCCGACGTTTCGATCTGAAGTTCAGGCCTTCATCAGGGCTAAGAAAATAACCAGATAACAAGGTATGAGAAACATAAGTAATGATGGTAAAAGAGATAATAAAAAAATAAATAAATAAAAAAAAAAAAATTATTAGAAAAATAAAATAGATAAATATAAAGTAAAATGAAATTGTTAGAATAATGACTAAGAACTAAGAGATAAATAATAAAAACCGTTACAAAGTGTGGAATGATGAAGTAGACATAATAAAAAAGGGGTGACAAAAGTGTTACAATGGGAATCTTAGAATAAAATGTAAAACATAAAAAAGAAATATAAAGTTATATAAGAAATGAAAATAAATAGTAAAATTAAAAAAATAGTAACAATGATGTTACTACTTACTTCTATCTACCTACTATACTATACTACTTACTTCTATCTAACTACTCCATTCTCAATTTTTTAATTTTACTATTTATTTTCATTTCTTATATAACTTTATATTTCTTTTTTATGTTTTACATTTTTTTCTAAGATTCCCATTGTAACACTTTTGTCACCCCTTTTTGATTATGCCTACTTCATCATTCCACACTTTGTAACGGTTTTTATTATTTATCTCTTAGTTCTTAGTCATTATTCTAACAATTTCATTTTACTTTATATTTATCTATTTTATTTTTCTAATAATTTTTTTTAATTTATTTATTTATTTATTTTTTTTATTATCTTTTTTACCATCATTACTTATGTTTCTCATACCTTGTTATCTGGTTATTTTCTTAGCCCTGATGAAGGCCTGAATTTCAGGTCGAAACGTCGGCATATGTAAAAAATAAATATTATCATTTATTTTTTGCCTTCCTTTTTGACTGAACACCCCAACTATTCTTCTCTTCATTATCCACGACAGTCAACCAATTACCAATTATGTATCCTGTTTTTATATCAGATGTATTTTTTAGAACTACTCTGCAATGTAAGATAAATTAAAAGTAGTAGTATCCATTTGGACAGCATGGCCTGAAAAGGGTTAAAACCTTTAAATTAATGAAAAAGTTTTAAAGGAAAATGGAATGCGCCTCTTCTTCAAGGATAGAACTTTTTATTAAGTTTATTAAATATTATAAAATTGAAACCTATTTTTTTATATATTTGTCAAAATGCTTCAGTAAAGAAGTTAATTTTTTTTTCCTCGATATAATTTGAAAATATGAATATAAATAAAATTACAAAATAATTGATATTTTTCAATTTTACCAACTATGTATTATATCTCTTGATCATTGATTACATCTTTCCAGTTGATATTGGTAAATAAATTTTCTACATCAAAACAATATTTACCTATTGTCTATTTTATTTATTATTTCAAGCATTTGATCCACCTCCATTGAGTTTTTTACATCATTGTTACTATTTTAAGTTATTGAGTGTGGAATTGAGATATTTAGCCAAATTTTTCAGTTTCTCCATCGATATTACTGATGACAGGACTAAATGGAGCACCACTTTTATGTAAATTTACTAATCCATGTATTCTAGGTATATTTTAGTTAGAGTTAATTAGTTTAATAAGAAATTTTTAAGGTTAATAATAAAGTGTATTGTATAAAATATAAACATCAAAGCAAGGTAAATATAAAAATGTCCTTAATGATTTATAATTTACTTATTTAAATTATTGATGTTTACTAGTTTGTATTGTATCCAAGGACTGTATAATATTTATGTGGAAATCTCCAGTTGGAAGGTTATATAATGTTATATTATTATATATTTTCCATTATGGCTAAGAATTCCTGCTATTATTATCATTTATATCATTTCTCTTTCTATTTTTTATATATTGTTAATAATGCTGTCAAAATAAAATTTCAATGTTGTAATAATATTAGCATTTGTGCTATATATTGTCATTTGGTTTTGGACACTGTTTTTCTCTCTCCTACTCTCCAACTAATTGTATCGTTAAGATACAATTTTGAATAATCGCTTAAGATACAATAAATAAATTGTATCGTTAAGATACAATTTTGAATAATCGCTAATTACAAAGAAGACAAAATGCTGAACATTTCTCTCACTGACTGTATACAGATAGGATTTTTATTATCTGAAATGTTTTAATCCATATATTCAACTAACCTCGTTATCATTTAATTTTCGACATTATTTTTTCTTTTTCGCCTCTCTAACACAGCGTCGCGTTGAGACACAATTTTGAATCATAGCTTATTACAGAGAGGATGAAATGCTGAACATTCCTCGCATACAGTATTTAGGCCCAATTTTTAGTTTCTGAGATATTTTAAACAATATGTAAAAACATTTCAATTAGTCAACTTTATCTGAGCATTAAAATCTGATGGATCAATTTAATTCACTCTCCACAAAAAAGTGCAAAACGCACCTAAAAAAATTTTCACTTCACAAATTTGGGTAAAGAGAAGATTGAAATGTTTTTTTTTTATTATTAAATTTTCAATGGCATATATTAATAATAATATTTATAATATAGAGGAAAAACGTTTTATTTCACCTTTATACATTTATTCCATGCTTTAATTCATCTAAATTTACCGATGATGTTTCAGGCAACTTTGCCTATTTTCAATTAGAATATTTCTATCATTATTATATAATCCATATAATTATAATTTTTTATATAAATATTGTAACATTTATCTCCTCAAATTATAAAATTCAGAAATTATTTATGAAAAGTCAATTCTAAAATCACTGTGGATAGTCAAAAATTAAAATTCATTTTAAATTTACTCAAATGCTATACATTTTCGTCCCTTTAAGTACAACAGTAATTAAATTTGGCTGTTATGATATATCTAGCAAAGAAACTTCTTAATCATACAAGGTAGTCCATCCCAGAAAAAAAAACAGCCAAAACAATGATGAGTGCCCTAAAACTTCTAAAGAAATTAAAAAATGAAGATCTGGATTGTTTATTTTTCTTTTAAATGTCAGAACTTAAAGCTCTATCTTTTATACTTCATTAAAAAATAAATAAATAAAACTCACTCAAACTGGTAATATATTCCTGCAAGTACATTTCTCTTTTAGAAGCACTTTGAAATAAAGAACTAAATGAAACATCCATTTTATATTTTGCCTAAAAATAAAATAATTAAGGTGATATTACAATTATCTTTGACATTTATTTACAGAAAAATACAATAATTTATTGCATACCTTTAAAGTATGAAGTGCATAAATAAATTTGATCTTCTCTTCCAACTCCGTGGCAAGTGGAGAATTAGTAATCATCAGTGAAGAATGTAATATGAACAGAGCTTCGAATTGCTTATCATGCTCATGGACATATCTATCAAAAATTAATTTTACATTTAAATACTAAACCCTATTTATTTTTAGACTCTAATATGGTAAAGATTTTATTAACGAAAAACATTTTTTAAAAAATAACCTCAAAAATAGTTTTCAGTCAATAACTCGACTGTGATTAGTTGAAACTCTTCTTCTGGCGGTACAGACCGAAGTGGTTCTTGGCCTTCAACAGCTGCTGCCACAGAGCTCTGTCCTCCACCAAACAGATGCCCAACTGTTGCATGTATTGTTCCATCTTCTCCTTTCACTGTCGACCCTTTGCTCTGGTGGCGAAGACTTTTCCTTTATATACCTTCTTCAGCTGTCTGTCATCATTCATTTGGTTGACATGGCCAATCCATTTCAGTCTGCTTATTCGTATAAAATTTGACTAAGATAGATCGTTGTATATATTATATACTTCTTTATTCTTTCTGCTTCGCCACACTCCATTGTCAAAAACTCCATCAAACATTCCTCGCAGCATAAATAGCAAATCTGTCAAAGGTTATTTTATTCATTACCCAACATTCACCACCGTAACTAACAATTGGTCTGATTAGAGCATTGTATATTCTGATTTTTTTTTCACGAGATATTAGGTTATTTCTTATTAGGTGTCCAAGAGCATAATATGTCCTATTTCCTGCCAGAATCCTTCTTTTGATCTCTTGTTTCATTGGCTTCATTAGTCATCAATGATCCCAGGTACGGAAATGCCGATACTACTTCAACGTTTTCTCCGCCTCAGTTATAGTAAGGTGGGTATTAATGCCTCATTCTCTCTACAATCAGCAGTTTGGTTTTGCTGGCATTTATTTCAAGGCCAGCTCTTCCTGCCTCCCTTTTTAAAAATGACAAATGCCTCTTCGATTGTCTGCCTGCTTCTTCCCACAATCACTGTCATCTGTGTAGGTCACGAGTAGTAGTGATTTATTGATGACTATGCTATTAACCTCTATCCTTACTTTCTTAACAATCGTATGAAGAACTAAGTTGAACTGCAAAGGAGCCAGTGCATCTGCTTGTCTCAATCCATTCCTTATTTCCAAGGATTTTGACAATTCCTTATTCACTCTTATTTGACAATTGGTCTGCCTCATTGTCATCTTCGTTAAAACTGTTAGTTTAGGATGGATCTTTGCTTCTTCCATAACCTCAAGGAAGTTGGAAACTCACATTTTGTTTTTTTCTTTCCCTAACTCCCGATATTACTTATTATTTTATAACTAAAAAATTTACAAATCTATAGATAAATTAGAAGACTACAATATTGTATTTTAATAAGTGTAGTCTTATAATTTCTGTAAGTAATAATACAAATTTTGGGAAAAAATTGAGCCACATGAAATTGCCTTTAGGCTGTCAAGTACTTGTGTTCGAACCATAGTTATTGGTTATTTTCAAAATACTATTAATTGACTAAATTAAGTAATTTTTGGATATCTAATTGGTTCAAGAATTGATTAAATTTAGTCATTTAATTCCTGAATTTATAAGCCTCAAATTATCAATGAGTCACCCTTGTAAGTTTAAGGAATTTTTCATGAGCCGTGGATCAACCCTGGTTTATGTTCTGTTGTTTCTCTTTACATTATATTATTAAAATATTCTAATATTTAATATTACCCCATTGGGGAATTTAAATACTCATGAGGATGTTAGAATCTTTTATTCATTATAGGTCAGAATTTCTCTGACATTCAATACACTTAATTATTTTCTAGTTTCCTTCATGTCTATACCTTTTTCACACTTTCTATTTCTTATATCATTCCTTCAACCATGTAAAAAAAAATATATTACTACTGTGAGAAGAGCAAATTCAACAGCTTTCGAAAATGGGATCGCGAGACCCCCTGGACATATCCAGCCTCTATAAAGAGGGTACTCTTAATTAAATAATTAATTAAGGGAGAAAATCTGGTGGTTGAGCATGATCCTGTCCTGATCACCTCCCCGCACAACCGTTGGACTTGAAACAGTACTTCTTAACAAAGCACTGAGCTCAAAATCCTTCATAGGTTGTAGTGGCACAGAACATTTTTTTAAAAAGTATTTTGATAAAAGTGCTTGATAATTAAATAATTAGTACAGAACAAAATTCATATTTTTATATCCAAGAAATTATTTCTAATTAGAGAAAATTATAAATTAATTTCTATTTAATTGTATGCATTTATATATTTTTCTGCTCATGTGTAATACATAAAAACTCATAGAACATTCACTCAACTTACCTGTTCTGGAGTAAACAAATTAAATATGACAGCGTTCTTTCAATAACTTTTTCCATTTGTTCAGAATCCAATTCAGATTTTAAAAGTTGTATACCTTTTTCTATTTCACTACAATTAATAAAATAAGAATCACTAGTGTAGGAAAATCAAATCACAAAAAAAATCACAAATTCAGTAAATCCCTATAGAGTCAGAAAAATTATAATATCAAAAAACTATATATTTATTTTTATATTTGCCGATGTTTCGGTCCCAAGTTCAGGCCTTCATCAGGGCTGGTCAATCGGAGAAGGTTCAAGGTCTTTCCATGTTTCTTCAATTGACCAGACCCGAGAAAGGCCTGATGCGGTCTGAAACGTCGGCAAATATAAAAATAAATCTAATTATTTATTTTTACAATTTTTTATTTTGACTGATCACCCCCCACCATCCGTCTCTTCAATTATTCATTACAGTCAACCATCAATCTACAATTATATTTCTAAATTTATTTTTGCAGTCAATTTGCTACTTCAAAATATATGACAATATGAAGAACATAGTAATATGGCTTTGAGAATTATTATTATGACCAAATAATTGATCAATAATGCTTGCTGAATAATATTAACATATTCAATAAATGTATAACTAATAAATTAAAATCTGACAAAAGAAGTGAAGTATGCCATAAAAAATGACTAATTTTTTGTAATTCCAAACTAAGGATTATACAAAAATGAAGTAAAAACTATGTACAGTAAAAGCAACAAATAATAAGTCAAAAAAGTTAAAATAAGACTGCATACTATTTATAATAAGAACAGACATGTCTTGGAAATTTAATAATTTGAATACTAACATCCAACTCAAAAATTGCAACTTTATGGCAGATATTTTTATATAAAAGGAAATAAGAGAAAGAGTGGACAAAATCAGGTGTAATGGAAGGAAATATAACTGATAAACCTTAAGACAAAGAAACAATGATTAGATTTCAATTAGCCTTTTAGGGCAAATCTTTAAGCAAGGGCAATTAGAAAAAAAATACAATGACTATTTACTTAGGAATTATAAAGCATTTATGCAGAACATTATACAGAATTAGTAAAAATTAATCAGGATTTGTTTTAGTAAGATAACTTCTATTTTCAAAACAAAATTCTCAAGTTCAGAAATATGAAACAAAAAAATTCATAATTGTAAGAAATTGAGGTTCTCCCTCACTCACTCTGGTTATAGTTTGGACTTAGAACCTTCTCACTTTCATCTTGCCAACGACTCAACAAAACCTTAAAGAAAAAACCTTCGATTTTATGGAAATAATTCAAAATGGAGTTACACAATTCTTCCTTGTAAAACCCAAAGAATGTTCTTAAGATGGCTACAAACCATAGGACACTATGATATATAATTTGAATATTAAGAAACAAAAATTGTTAAAATAAAATCATTTCTTAATAAGAAAATCAGTCATTTTTATTAACATCTCATTACTTACTACTACAAAACTATCAAGTATGTTAAGAAGATAAAACACAAACATTTATTTTTCTGCAAATATACTAGAATTCATAAAACAAGGAGACAAAAGAAAACAAATATAAAAACATACCCTGATTCTGTAGTATGTAAAAGATATGAGACATAAGGTAATATAAATGCAGAGGGGCCAGTAGATGTTATGAGCTGTTTAGCATCCTCAATCATATTTTCATATCCTTGTTTGTAAATATATTTAATTAAACCATATACCTGTAGAATTCATCAAAGGAAATAAAATATAGCTATTGCAATATAACATAATACAAGTTTAAAATTGTTTTATTTCATAAAATGTCCATTAATAGGGAGAATATTAAAAGACGCTATATATTTAATTGCTGAAACAAAGTTTGCTTCTTGGATTCTATAGAATATTTCGTAGGAACAACTTTAATAAGTCTTTAATAAAAATAAGGATTTAAAAGAACTTTAATTTTGGTTTGAAAACTTAAATATATGGATTTAAATAGTACTCCAATTTGATTTTTTGGTGCTACTTTGGTAGATGTGATTATAAAAAATAATTTAAAGGATTTTAGCCTAATTTAGGATGTAATAAAATTATATTTTTTTTTCACTTAAAATACCACTGTTACTAGATAATTTCATTATCCAGCTTATATAATAATAGTTTTAAATTTATTTTTCTATTTATATATGGAATAGATTTGTCAATTACAGAGACAGCTTATTAAACTCCATTTGTGGTCTAAAATGTGTTTTATACAAAAGCATAATGGTTTTTAAATAAACACATTCAGGTATATATTTACTAATAAATCTCAACATAACATATGTAAAGCTGATTAAGTACTTACATGAAAGTAGTGGACATCAGTAAGGCCATACTTCTTAAATATAATTTTTTTTGGAACATTGTTTGCATGCAAATAAATTTTTTCAGCAAGAGGATGATCAACACTGATAGCGTATTTCGCAAGCATATTGACCTCAGCACTCCATGGAACAGTGACGTTAGCAACAGTAGTTTCAATCGCACTCATTTTATGCTGAATAGGAAAAAAAAATTAGTATTAACAGAAAATCCATTCAAACATTCATTAAATAGGAAAAAAAACAAGAGTAATTGGTTAAGAAAAATTAAAGAGTGATAAAAGACATGACTATATACAATATAATTTTACTTGACATTTTACAAACTAGGACTGCCAAATATGAAAGCTTTACACAAGAAACGGAGTAAAACTCGATTTACAGGACATAATGAGTCAATGTTCACTAATGACAAGTTCATCTAAGAGTTAGATGAAAATATGGAATGAATGAGCAATGGATGATTTGAGAAGTGGCAGCTCACTCCTGTGGCCAAGGGCCATTTCAACAGATAAAGAAACATTTTTAGTTGAAATAAAATATTATTAGTATGTTAAGGAGATCAGAAAACATCTACAGGTATAATCAAACCTATTCCAATCTAAGTGGGATTACAATTATTTCTATTTCTAAAATATTGTAAGACAATATGTGTTTTATGTACTAGTTTACAATTCTTTTTTCTCTCTTTCCCTCAAGGGTCATTGGCGTTTTACTATGATTTATATTCTTTTGTAATACTCTATAAACTTCAAAAATTTAAACAAGGAATTGACTGTTTCTTCAGTATCTTGAAGGATTTCTTTTAATGTTTTGGCTAAGCCTGTTTTTTATCTATAACTTTCAAATTGAGGACATTCTTCCAGTAAGTGTTTCACTGTTTGTGGAACGTTATTACATTTTTCACACGTGGGTGCTTTGAGACCTTACAATTTAGTTTACAATTTACAATCGTAAGATATAATTTATTCATTATTTTCATGAAGTTAGATGAAAGAAAAATGTTTTGTTTCTGACAAAATAATAATATAATATTAAAATAATATTTAATTTCTTTTTTTATATCTAAGCTTTTAAGATCTCTAACAAAAGTTAAATATTGAACTTTAACAGCCTTCCATTTCCATATGTATATTATTATCAAAGTAATCTGTTTGAAAGTAATATAGATACTGTAGAAAGTAATAGAGCAATATTATTTTGCCCTAGACCCTGGCTCAGCTAATGGCGGTCTTAGGTAAGAAACCACTCAACAAAATAAGGTTGAGATTCATTCAATAGATGGACACAAAATAAATATCAATCCACACAGGTCGGAGTCAACGTCGCTATACTCAAGAATATTAGAGAGGGCAACGCTTTAGTGACCTCTACAGATTTGGATCTATTACTTATAATTTTCTTAATCCAACCTTTCTGCTGCTCTGTGAGGGGCTCTCTTTTAGAACCTCATCAGAATTTCGGTTCCATACCTTTCCTGCAAGATTTAACAAGGTGTTTCCTTCAGCTTTTTCCCTTCTATTTTTGCCTGATTTTTACTTGTTCCTCAGATATTCTTAAAATATATCCAAACCACCTGAGTCAATGTTCTTCAATGACCTCCATGGCTGATTTTAATTACAGTTTGGTCCTTATCGTTGACTTTTTAATTCTGTCTAGCCTTGGTTTTCCTCAATATTTCTTAAATAACTCATCTCTATGTTCTGGAGTTACTTTTATTAGTTTTAGTAACTTTTTCTGAGTTTACAATACACTGGCTACGATGTGACAATATCGGAAGGAATGTGTTTTTATATATGATTATCAACTCTGTCAAAGCTGGTCTCAAGCTCGGTTAAAGGTTAAAAAGGAGAAGGGAGTCATGCTGTAGCCTGAATGTGTATATTACACTGTCTCAGGTCTGGCTGTTTAACATATAAACAGTAAAGCAGCTGGAGAGTTGGCAGTCTCTTTATCGGGCTTTGGGTAGAGACATTCCCTGCCTACTGAAAACAAACTATAAAAAGTAATGAAAGTAAAACTAACGTACAACCAATTAGTTTTTTATTGCTTATGATAAAACCATGAAATAATCTGTACAAGATAAATGTTCTGCTTATGGGCATAAATACAATATATTTTTTATTTAATATTTAAAACTTATAAGTAACTTAAACTGTTAATACTCACATGAACATTTTTAATTAAGTTAATAAAGGCAATTGCACGTGACTCCCAAGAACTTTCTATATCACCCCAACTAGACGAAATTCTTGCTAAACTCTAGAAGGAGTAAAGAAGTTATATTAATACATTTCAAACTACATAATACAATTAAAGTTTATAGTTGTAATACTTACAGAAATATACTGTGATAACAAGGAATCCAATTCAAGGAAGTGCTCAGTACAAAACTTCTTAAGAAATCCAGATATTAAAGATGGAATAGTTTTTTGAGATACATTGTCTAATATCAAGAAAACAACTTCTTGAATACCATTCTGAAAATAAAAATTAATTAGGAAATGCAATAATTTTTAAATGTTTCTAGAAATGTTTTTAATGTAAAATAAAAGGCTGCGAGATTAAAAAGGATTTTGATAAATAAATTATCATATATAGATTAAATAAAATAATTATTAAAAAATCTCATGAAAAAATATGAATAACCTAAATAAGGTTGTTTATCATAAAAAAATTATTACTATTAAAAACTTTTATTAACTAAATTTCAACAAAATATATCAATATCATTATTGAAAATAAATCTTTGGATATTTGTTTATTTATCACATTTTTTCTTAACCAATATTGGTTTCCAAAAACCCAATTTGATCTTAAATTCCTGCTAGGGCCTTCCATATGAAGGGAAGGAGAGTCTGAAGTGGGGGCAGTTTTGAATAAGAATTCAATTGAATCATTTAAAATAAAAAACCCAATAACCTAAATGAGCATGCATTTTAACTATTTATTATTTCTTTTTGCTTTGTTCATAAACAAAAATAAATGGAAATAGTGAGAACAAAATCGGAAGGGGATATTAAATTAACTACTCATTATTAATTTATCTAATACATACCTCTCTTTCTATTGTAGTTATGTACTCATCAAAATCAATAGATATTGAATATTCACTTTTCAATATTGATAGCTCATACACATGCTTTGCTAAGGACGTCAATCTAAAAATGGGTGAAAAAGCAAATCTTGAGTTTTCCTGAAGAGGAGGTAACTCCAAACGAGGGTCTGATGAAGGAAGGGCATATATAATATTCATGATATCCTTCACAAAATTAAGACCCTTATCTGGCCAAAATGAGGTATCTTGAAGTTCTAATGTCCTAAAAATAAAAAAATACCTCTTAAAGCTTTATGGAATCAAGATGTTTGCCAGAACATTATAGAATTCTCTGGTTTTACCAGGTCAATTATGGAAAAATTGTGTGTGTTTACCCACGTTAATAATTATAATACACATAATAATTACTTATTAAAAAAAAAAACCCAAAAAAAAACCTGTACCACTACAACTCATGAAGGGTCTTGGGTTCAGTACTATTTAGGGAAAGTACTGTTTCAAGGCCAACGGTTGTGCAGGAAGGGGATTGGGCCAGGATCATGCTCAACCGCCAGGTTTTCTCTCTCAATCAATTATTCAATTAAGGATACCCACTTTATAGAGGCTCAGTGTGCCCCAGGAGGGTCTCCCTATCCCAGGATCGCTCCACAGCCAATGTAACAAAATAAATAATTTTACTGCTATGAGCCGGGATTCGAACCTGAGATCTTGAGCATTGGAAGCTTAAGCTTCGTTCCCTTCCGCTGAGCTATCCCACTACCTACAATTACTTATTACTATTTCTAAAATATTGTAAGATAATATGTGTTTTATGTACTAGTTTACAATTTACAATTGTAGGATATAATTATTTTCATGAAGTTAGATGAAAGAAAAATGTTCCTGACAAAATAATAAATAGGGATAATATTTAATTTTTTTTTTTATATCTAAGCATTTAAGATCTCTAACAAAATTTAAATATTGAACTTTAACAGCCTTCCATTTCCATATGTATACTATTATCAAAGTAATCTGTTTGAAAGAAACATAGATACTGTAATACTGTAGAAAGTAATAGAGCAATATTATTTTGTCCTAGGCCCTGGCTCAGCTAATGGTGGCCTTAGGTAAGAAATCACTTAACAAAATAAGGTTCTTATTAAATTATGATTTGATAGATAAGCTTTCATAAAAATATAACATAGAAAACAATGCATAATTTTAGTAAGTAGGTAATAGATTTATTATTTAGGAGAATTCAATTTTAAATAGATTTGAGGTTTTTATTTCATCATTAATCTTGAATATCTTATAAATTATAATTATTTTCAAATTTTCGTTATATTAATTTTTATTCTGATTATTCTATAATGATAAAAAAAAAACTAGTTATACAGAAAATAAAATTGAATAGGGAGATTAAATGTACAATAAAATAATCTGCTCAAACGTTGGAAGTATGATTTGTAATGGAATAGTATCAATAGTCATGGGGTAAGTAGAAGTGTTCTGTGATTCGTTCACAGTTTTGGAAACTAGCTGTCTGTCTTGATTATTCAACATTTTTATTTTAAAGACAAAACAATATTGTAAACTTCAACACAAAAAATAGTATATAATCACGTACTTGGTTCTTTCAATTATCCATTGCACTAAATGGCCAAGTAAATCAGGATGAGTTTTAAGAAGTACTGGAACATATGTTTTTAACCATTTGAGGACCCCTTCTACTGGAACTGAGAGAGGAGTTGATTCAAAAAGATCTATTGCTACTCCGGTAGGCAGTTCATTACGTATTCTTTCTTCGTGCCTTCTACAAACAATTACAGCTTTACTGATTTCTGCCTAGAACACAAAATTTATTATTATTACACAATGTGATACAAATATACTCTCTTTTGTTTCTTTTATTCTAGCTCATTAAATTACTCTTAATAAAGCTATAGATGAAAAGAAAACACAGGAAAATATAAATTTTTATAATATCATAAACCTTTAAGGAATTGTGTAGCATACTATTTTTTTTTCTTATATTTTTATTATCAATGTATATATTTTCCTTTCTTTCAATAGAATATTATTGTAATATAATTCAAAACATATTGATTTTAATTTAATGAAATTGAATGACTAAGAAGAACATGGTGAGGTGTGTTAATTAAGTCTCAACTCTTGGCCATGTCTTAATTACCGATTAAAATTGACTTGAAGTTAAATACTTTAATTATTTAATAATCTTTATGATATTTCTTTGAAATTTCAATTGTTTTTGTTAGTAGGAAATGGATTTAACCACTTTTATTCATACATTGTTAGATTAATAGTAGTTGATTTTCATAATATATGTGAATTAATTTCATGTTTTATTGTTTGATGTTTGATCGTGTACTCTTTTTTTTATATTTGAATGGGGCACAGGTAACTAAACCAAATTTGTTATTGTTTTCAATGAAACTACTGACATTTTTAGAAAGCAATGAGCTAGTAATTATTCGTACTAAATATTACGTATACATATTTTCACAAAACATGAGAATCATGATTAACATATTAAATTTTCAATTGTGAGGAGAGTTAGAGCCTTGCTTTAGTACTTCCAGTATCCACTCTGTCTTAAAATTAGTAGATGAAACTTGGAGGACAAATAACAAATCTGTTCGAGTACAGCTGCTATCGCAATGTCTCTGAACAATAACAAGAGGGTGCAGAATCAGTAGCAAACACCCACTGCCTATTTATGGCCTGCAGAATTTATTTATTTATAAATATTCATATTTTTTCTCAAGAGTATAATACAGCTAAAAAATAATATTATGGTTGAGGTTAAGACATATGAATCATAAATATGTTAAATGTGCTCAAAGATTTTTGTTTTATTCTTACTTGCTTAAATTTTCTTTATTTAATTTATCAGTTCATTTTTATATGTGAAGTACATGTATTATTTATTCTTATTTATTTAAAACAAAATGTTTATATTTATTTTTCTTTAGTATTTAGACGTGGTATGAATGGACCCTTGTAGCTTGTGTTATTTTAAATAAAAAGTTTTTTTAAAAAAGAAACTCAAAATGATAAAAATCAGGACTGAAACTATATGATGTTTCTAACTTGTTTCATTATTTTTTTTAAAAAGCAACTGGTTCATAATAAAAACCGAAAATCTATGTAACGTAAATAACTCACTTTTGATAGGTACTTTAAACAGATCATAATTGGATTAGAATTACAAAATATGAGCCAATTTTCAGGTGATGTGGTATCTTCACTAATTTGAATAAATGTTCCAAGAGTAACAGTGGCTTTGTTCACATCATTCATCAGTTTTAAAATGTTATCAGACTAGAAAAAAATAAAATAAATAAATGTTTCATAAGTATTGAAAATATTAATTATCAAACAAATATATATTATTTATATGAGAAGGAGTTAGTCGAGGGTGTGGTCAAATAAATAAAAAAAATAAAATATATTAATTATTTTAATTGTTTTATTTATTTGACCGCACCCTCGACTAACTCCTTCTCATATTATACCAACGGTCAACCATCTCTACATCATTATATTATTTATAGTATGTATGAATAAGTTCTTTACAGATGATTTAAGATGTCGAAGTCTTTTCCCAGCATAGTCAAGAAGATAATGAATCATTTTCAGATGCGGAGCTACCGTTTTCAAACAACATTCAGCAACAAATTCAACGTCCTGTAAGAACAAAATATGCATCAAATATATGAAATATTTAAATAGCATACAAAATTCACTAAAATTAATTTATACTAAGATTTAATATAATAGAGGATCAAATCATTGTTGCTTTAGGATTACTATCTTTCATGAGTGAGGTATATAAAAATGTAACCTTTATTTCTTCCAAAAGAGAGCAAAGTTGCTGAAAGTATTCAGTTATAAGTTCTGAGGGCGTTTTAATCCACAGTTGAAGTTCACCCATTAACCATAAAACTTTGGATTTATAAACCTCTTCCAAAGACAGACTGAGGTCTCTTGCAAACTTTTCAGCTTCGGAAAATTTCCTTCGTTGTAATAATCGATCTAACCTGATTAGAAAAATATAAGAATAAACCATCAAACGACACATATTAAAAATGCTTGGACTTGAAATATAAATATTTACCTAAACTCAGGCTGACTTTCAGTAACAGCTTTTACTCGTAATGTATCAATTCCAATTTCTCCAAAACCATCAATAAATAAAATGTCTTCTAAGCTTGATTGATTGTATACAAGAAAAGAAGGAGAGGATATTTTTAAGCGTAGTTTTACTTTGAATACTGGAATAAAATTAAAGATATAGTAAAATAATGGGAAAAAAAAATCAAGGCTTAATACAATTTATAGTTGTTTCCTAAATTATTGTCTCTCTTTTCTTAAATATGCATTCGCTATGGCAATATTCTTAAATTATAATTACGAATGCCTTTTATAGTCTTGTGATACATGTTCTCATATTATACCTCACTGTAAAAACATTTTAGAAGTTTACATTTCTTTGAAATAAATATTTTTCATAAGGACAACAAGATATAGAGAACTGCTTCAAAATATACTTTAATTGAAGGGTTCTACAAACTTGTTATGACATGACTGCATTAGAGGTTGCATAAATAGAGGTGGGTACGATCTGATTAAAATATAAATCAATAAAAAAGAATTAGTTATTTTATTTTAACTTAAATTGTGTAACATATAATCATTATATATTTTATTTGGTGTGAAAGTCGATTTAGGATTATTCATAAAAGAGAAGATAAGTGAACTAATATGAACAACAATATTCAAAATATAAAATATTAATCATCTTGGTCTCCAACAAAAAAACTCAGTTAAAGAATGTACAAAAAAATCTTTAACTATAATACTAAAAAAAAATAACACATCGATAGCATGTAGTGACAACAGTACGAGTTAACATCAGCATGAGGTGATAACAAACACTTTTTGACTAATAGAACACAAAATCGTCAGTCAGTGAATATATTAGCAAATATTTCACTACCAATATTTTAAAAACTAAAGTAATTTGTTAATTGATTTTTATCATTTTAAAATTTAATTTTTTTATTATTTTAACACTTTGCCGCATTATAAACATGCGCCCACAAGAACAAGAAACACTAAATCAATATTGATTGGTCAACATAGCGAAAATATACTAATAAAGGAATAGTAAAATAAGAAAATTACCTGGTAATTCAATAAGACAAAGATCTGGTACATCAGATTCAGTAATGACCAGCAAATTTGAAAAAACTGTTTTGTGTTCCACAGTATCAACAAATGTGAAATCTTTAATTTTTTCTTTTTTCCACGTAGTAATGACTTGTAATGTGTGAAGACAAATGAGAAGGAAATATCCTTCTTCTGATAGGCAGATTATTACACTGAAAACAATGATATAATAAAAATACAATTGATTAGGTTTCTGGAAATTTCTTATAAAGGAATTTATACTTATGTAAATAATAAAATCTTAAGAAGACCTTAAAACGCTCATCTGAAAATCAACCTGCTATTCTATTGAATACGATTTTATCTGTAAAAATATTATTGCTACTAAAACCTAGTTTTTTGGCAAGTGTTGTAGTAGTATTTTTTGAACAATACACTATACAATCTAACAGCCAAGTGAAGAGTTTCAACTTTTTAAAATTTAATATATTTTTATTAAATATTGGGCTGAAGCCTCTCTCCCTCCCTCCCCCCCCCCCAAAAAAAATGGTAAAATATCAGCATGCCTTATGAAAAACATATTAGAAAATTATCTCTAAAAGTATGATTGTTAGTGTGATTACATTTAATAGGACTTCAAGAATCACTTAAATCCCATTTCATATAGGTAATTACGATCTTTATTTTACTTCTTTCTAAAGTAATAATTGTTTTATAAATATATATATATATATATATATATATATATATATATATATATATATATATATATATATATATATATATATATATATATAAAGCTTTTGGGCTGAAGTATCCCTAAAATTAAATCATGGATCTGCTAGTGCATGTTAATATAAAACATCCATTAATGAAAGTACAAGAAGCAAAGCTTATTAAATGAAAAAGAATGTTAAAGAACTTCCTTGTTACAGCTTGAAGGGACAAACTGCAGCAGTAAAAAAACTCTCTTCTGAATAAACAACAATCATAAGGTGGCCATCTTTTGGAGTTGGCAGAAATGACCAATAGATTTACCTGTAGACATAGTCCTCTCTACCACAAACAGCACTAATACCAATTCCTAGTACTTAGCTAATATCTATGTGAATGACAAATCATTTTATAAAGGAAAAACATATAAATTCTTACTTTCCTGAAGACGGAATGCCCAACTTTTTAATATTATGATCTGTAGTAAGTTTTATGATATCAGTTTTTCCATCTTCTTTTGTCCAAGTAGAAAAACTATCACCAAAAATAAAAAACAAATTTTTATCATAGACCTGAAGGAAATTTGAAACAGCAAATTTTGAAACCTATAACAAACAATACCTTAAGAGATTATAAATCCAATTAATGATGTCAATTTTGATTTAATCATTACAGTATACAATCCTTAAATAAAACAATATTTCACAGAAGCTTTTCAGTTCATAACAGGTTTAACTAAGCTTTTCAGTTTAGTTTATTTGTTATGGGTTACACTAACTGTAGTTATAAGTAATAATGTAAACAATTAGTAATTTAAAATTAAAGTTATCAAGAATTTCTTGTTTTATCAAAATTCACTGACTCTTAATAAAAATAAATTGATTAAATTGGAGTCTTTAGACCATCTATGATATATGGGGTCAGTTCTTCACAAAACACAGAATACAACACAAAAGACAGATCTGTTTTTACAAATAACAGACACTGTTTCAGACAGGCACACAATCCCTAATATTACCAAATGCACATTACAGACACTTAAAAGATTAAGTACCATAAAATAAAATATTAAGATTAAAAAAAAAAATAAATGGATACTTGGGGTGTTTTTTTATGAACAAATTTGATATATATTTTTAAAATAAATTTTTGAATATTTAATAGTTGACCATTGCATTATAAAGGAAAGAGATGGTCTGGGGTGGCGGTCATAAATAGGCTAAATAGTGGTAAAACTATTTTATTAAAAGCCGATGTTTCGACCCGACTTTGCAGGTCTTCTTCAGGGAGGTGTGTTCAGCAAGGAGAAACTGAGTTCTAAATGGAACTCCTAGCTGAACACACCTCCCTGAAGAAGACCTGCAAAGTCGGGTTGAAAAGTGACTTTTAATAAAATAGTTTTACCACTATTTAAAATAAATTTTTGTTTCATATGTTCGGGTTTTTAATCCCTTTTCAGGGCAAATTTCTTATGATTGAGTTTTTCATATTATTAATTTATGACACTTTCTCTTGTTAACTATCATCCATAAATTAATAATATCTGGTAAATAGATCTAAGCTATTCTTTGTATCACACTGTTGAGACAATAAGATAGTATAAGGCAGGGGTGTCCAAATTTGACCTGCAGGACAAATTGGTACCTTCATTAAGTCTCACGGGACGCATTGAGGTCTCCACTAAGTCCCGCAGGACATGGCTTGAGATGAAAAAAGAACTTGATCTATAAACGACTCTTCAGTTGAGAAATAACCTTTCTAAAAGAATTAACTCATGCAATAAGTGTTGTATTAGTCTGGTTTTTGAGTAATTTACGAAATTTAATATTTTTTAAGTAGTTTATAAAATTTTACCATGGAATCAAGGAAACTTTCGCAGGCCATAGGTTGGAGACCCTTGGTACAGAGTAACATTCCATAATCAATGTAATTGATTTGTTAATATATTTAAATTAAGGATAAAATAAATATTGATTAATTGATAATAGATCACAAAATGGAGTGAAAAGTCATAAATTAATAATAAGAAAACTATACTTTTTGATAGTTGTTTTGTTTTATCGTTATTGCTTTATTGTTGTCGATCAAAAGAAAAATATTCTATGAAAGACAATAATAAAAGAAATAATTAAAAAATGTAGTAGAGCATACATATATAATGACAAAGTATAATAAATTGATATTTATTTTATCACTAGTAACACTATTATCAATTTTTAGACTTACAATAGTGCAAGGTTTTCTAACAGTTTCATATAAAAGCTCAGCATTATATTTCTCGATCTTTTCTTTATAGTTATCATTGTTAAATCCATTTACAAGTTTAAGATTGTTTCCTGAAACTCTAAAAATAAAAAATAAATGAATGGAATGATTGATATTTTAAATGACAGAATATCTGAATTTACTGAACAAGTATGTATTCATCCTTATCCCAATATTGTAAAATAGAAGTATAAGGGAAATACTTATCCTACAGAACAATAAATTGTAATTATTTCATTAAAACTTGAGTTTATCTCCAATTTCAAATAATATTCAAATAATAACTACATATAACATATATTAAGACTAAAAATTGGAAACAAAAAGCAATTTGTCTTTAATAATATTTCGTCGTCTTCTTTCTGTCATGTGGCTGATATTTACTATTCATAATATTACAAACAACCATTATTTTGAAAGATAAACATAACCCAACCTTATTATTCCACATCGACTACCAGAAAAAATGGCGTATCTTAATTAAATAAGATCAAAACTCTGCCATCATCGTTTATGGTATTGCTGTCCTGATACTAATTATCACTATTTAAGGCTGATATTTATATTTTAAATTAGGATGCTAAATCAAGAGGATTTGACTGTTTTTTTAAACTACAGTGAGTAGTTTCAGCGAAATAGACAAAATAGTGGTCCCTAGCATCGGTAGTACCAGCAAAATTATACCTTAAGCTTAAGGTCCTGGTACCCATTTTCTCAATTGAATTCAGCCATTCTTTCAACTGAACAATCTAAGTTTATCAACTAATAGATACATCATCACAACAGTTTTTTATTATGATAATGATAGTGTGCTATTGTTACTAGTAATTTTTCTCCTGTTTTCAAGGATTGTGACTTACTGAAACAGGTAACATTAAATTGGGTATGAAAATATTAAGGAAGGAAGATATCAAACTCATTTTCATAAAAAAAGTTAGAAAGTGATAGAATGTTTATGACAATCTAAATAAATAAAATAAAGGTTTTGTGTGTACATTGAATAGAATCAACCCGTTTCATTACATCTTTCCATTTCATACATTACAGACACCAAATCCACTTCTAAAAAATTTGTTGTCTGTATGTCTGCATTGTCCAACAAAATTTTGTCAAGGGTAAGCTCAGCAATTGCTAATGTTAGACTTTTGAAATTATGACATTATATTTAGGTTTTCTTGACTTAAAACATAGGCTTTAAATGAAAACAAAATATTGAGTAGAACAAAAGTTATCAATTCTTGAGTAATTTGTCTAGAGATCCCGGTTAGGGGCTTCGATCATCATTCCAACCTACTCTACCGCAAGCCACATTTAGAAGTTGTATTATTCAACTGATCAATTATAACAAAACTTTTTTTTTTTTTCTCTTAACCCCAATAACAATTTAACTTAAACCCAATACTTGGAACAATTTATTTTACAACTAACTCATGTACTCGACATTGTGGTGTATAGTATACTGGTGACTGGTGTATATTTTGAGAATATTTTTTTGAGATGGATTTTGTATGATGGAGGGGGACCCTCGTTTAATTTCATAAAATTGGGTGGTGGGAGGAGTGGTTGTTTTGAAATTTTTTATGGGGGGCTTATAGAAGTCAAGGTTTCACAACAGTCATAATAAAAACTTTGTTATTCGGCTATTTGTCTAGAGATCCCTTTAGAGATAATTTTAATTTGTCTAGAGATCCCGGTTAGACAGTTACTTACTTCGATTCTCATCCCAACCTACTCTACCGCGAGCCATATTTAAAAATTTTACTATTCAACTGATACTATTCAACACCACAAAAAGTCATGGATCTCCCTAAGGTAAAACGCTCATTATCCGGAGGTAAACTAGTCCCCCGTTCGGGTCTCCGGGTGGGGACTGCTTTAGGGGATTCATGGTGCAAGTTGAAATATAGGGATTTAAATATTGGTACGTGGAACGTAAGGAGTTTAAACACAGCAGGGGGGCTAAAATCGGTCGCGAATGAGGTAAATGGGTACAACTTGGATGTCGTGGCTCTGCAAGAGGTTCGCTGGCCAGGGGAGGGCTCGATGAGGGAAGGAAAGTACACTATTTGGTACGGAGGAAGCGGGAATCATTGTTTAGGTACCGGGTTTCTAATTAGGAGTAGATTACTATCCGCTTTGAGGGACGTACAATTCTTTAGTGATAGAATTTCGGTAGCCACATTTCAGGGACGTTGGTTTAAAATCGCATTAATAAACATACATTGTCCGACCGAAGACAGTGACGATGAAGTCAAAAGTGAATTTTACGATAAACTCGAATGGGTTTATGATAAACTACCGCGAAACTACATGAAAATGATTGTAGGTGACGCGAACGCAAAGGTAGGAAGAGAAGAAGTTTATATTCCGACGATTGGTAAAGAAAGTTTGCACGAATATAGTAATGATAATGGGATCCGTCTGATAAACTTTGCCATCTCGAAAAACCTGATAATTAAAAGTACGACGTTTAAACATAAGGATATTCATAAATATACTTGGACATCACCGGATTCGCAAACACGAAATCAAATCGATCATGTCTTGATACAACACAGCTGGCAAAGCAGTATAATCAATGTACGGTCTTATCGCGGAGCAGAATGTGGGTCGGATCATGAATTAGTAATCGCAAAACTTCGACAAAAACTTAATATAAAAAAGAGAAAAGAAAACCGTTTCGATTTTGAGAATTTTAATTTGGAAAAATTAAAAAATCCATCAATTAGAAACCAATTCGAGCTAGATGTTAAGAATAGGTTTGAAGCTTTAGAGCTTCCTGACGAAGACCACGAGGATATTGACAAGTTATGGGTAGAGATCAGGGATAATATTAAAGCGGTCGGTAACTCGTGTCTAGGAAAAAAGGAAAATAAGAATAACAAACCGTGGTTTGATGAAGATTGCTTAACCATGTGTGAAAAAAGAAAAGCCGCTAAATTAAAAGCTCTAAATAATCCTAGCAAAGACAATCTGGAACACTTCCGAATCTCAAAGAACGAAACGACAAAATTGCTCAAAAATAAAAAAAGGGAGTATCTTAAAAATAAAATAATTGAAATAGAAACTAATAGAATCGAAAATAACGTAAGAGACATGTACAAAGGTATAAACAGATCACGTAAATATGTAGGGCCTGTAACGTCTGGAATTAGGGATGATAATAACAATATTCTGACCGATCCGGTTGACATATTGAATAAGTTTAAGGACCACTTTGACAATATTTTAAATACGGGAAATTATGATCTGTGTCCTCCTTCTGAGTACCAGAGTGCTGAACCGTTAATAGAAGGACCAAGTAAAGAGGAAGTTGAAGTAGCTATCGGAAAATTAAAATCATATAAAGCAGCGGGAATCGATAATATTCCTACTGAACTAATTAAGGCATGCGGGGAAGCTGGAGTTTCTAAAATACATCGGTTGGTTAAAAAGATCTGGGTGAACGAGAAATTACCTGAAGAATGGAAAGAATCTATTCTTATTCCGATTCACAAAAAGGGTCCGAGGACGGATTGTAATAACTATCGAGGAATTTCACTCCTTCCGGTATGTTATAAAATATTCACTTTAATCTTAACCAGTCGAATCACGGAATACGCCGAGGAAATTATCGGAGACTACCAATGCGGATTTAGACGGAACCGTTCGACTATCGATCAAATATTTTCTTTACGGCAAATATTAGAGAAAAAATTGGAGTATAAAGGTATTGTTCACCAGCTGTATATAGATTTTAAAAAGGCTTACGATTCTATTGACCGCCAGAAACTGGATAATATTCTAATCGAGCAGGGGATTCCAAAAAAACTAGTAAATCTAGTCAGGATGTGCTTGACGGAGACACTCAATATAGTTAGAATCGGTAATAATTTGTCCGAAAAATTTGAGGTTCGTTCTGGCTTAAAACAGGGGGATTCTCTTTCGCCTGTCCTGTTCAATTTGGCATTAGAACATGCCATTAGGGAGGTAATGCGAACCGAGAAAGGGTTGGATCTGGGTGGGACAACATCCGTGCTGGGCTATGCTGATGATCTGGTACTGTTAAGCGAAGATGTTGAAACTATAAAACTAAATACGAAAACGTTAATGAAAGCCGGTAAAGAACTAGGACTCGAAATAAACGTGGATAAAACAAAATATATGGTTAGCTGCAAAAATGGCGATCCTACTGGTGATATCGATATAGATGGTAATATGTTTGAACAGGTAGATAAATTTAGGTATCTAGGTTCTACGATAACTAGAAAAAACGAAATTGAAGAAGAGATTAAGGTTAGACTGAAGGCGGGGAATGCTTGTTATTTTTCTATGACAAAACTACTTAGTTCGCGCCTCTTGTCCCGAAACTTAAAAATTAGAATCTATAAAACAATTATCTTGCCTACAGTCCTTTATGGATGCGAAACTTGGCCGCTTACATTAAGGGATGAGCAGCGTCTTAAGGTTTTTGAAAATAAAGTATTGCGTAGAATATTCGGACCGAAGAAGGATGAGTTAACCGGAGAGTTCAGACGGTTACACAACGCCGAATTGCGTGAGCTGTATCCGGGTAATATAATTGAGGTAATTTCATCGCGGCGAATCAAATGGGCTTGTAAAGTTGTTGGGCTTAGTAACGAGAGAATTCCTAAAAGGTTAATATTTGCTATGCCGAATGGTAAGCGTCCGAGGGGTAGACCGAAGCGAAGGTGGGAAGATTGCATCAAAGCCGATCTGAAGGGACTGGGTTTGGACGGCGAACGCTGGAGGGAGGTGTGTAACAAGCGATTGGTGGTGTCGGCATCGAACCTTCGGGTTCGCTAAGCCTTAGTATTATTATTATTATTATTATTATTACTATTCAACTGATGGAAAAAATTATCACAACTCAATGAGAAAAATCCGAAATCCCGAACATCTGTAAGACGTCGTTTAAAACACAGGTATAACACACTTTCATCTTTGTCAGATCTTCCTTGTCATTCGATTCAACTTCCTGAGCCTAACAAATGTTGTATACATTTTTATGATTAACCAAACGGATTAGCCAGAAATCGGCTAAAAATTAAACTCCCAAAAAGTTGATCCCATCCGCCACAATATTTAGATCAAGTTTTAATTTTACACAGATGTAGATGATTCAATGTCCAATGTTATTTTGGTTACTTTGCCAGCGATAAACTCAGCAGAGTTTAAAGAAGTGGAGAGACTACAACTCTTTTTGATTATTTCAATTGACTCCACAATGTCCTCGCTTCATCGAAAATAAAAATTAAACACTTAAAAAATTTCAATGGATCAGTGATGGTTGGTTTAGTTCTGTGGCACCTAAACAAATAGCCGAATAACAAAGTTTTTATTATGACAATTGCGAAACCTTGAATTCCATAACTTCTCCATAAAATAATTCAAAACAATCCTCCCATCCAATTTTATGAAATTAAATTTGGATTCCTCCCCATAATACAAAATTCATTTTTAAAAAAATTCTCAATTTGTAACTATATACATATTAAGTATATAAATATATATATATATATATATATATATATAATAAATAAATCAAACCAAATAAGAAAATAAAGAGAAAGAATAATATAGTTTAAATACTTGCCTGACAATAAGACCATTATTAACAAAAGCATAAACTTCAAAATGGTCTTCAGTACATCTAGATATAATATTGATAAAATTTAACTTGTCTTCTAGAGGACATCCAAAATCTGAAGCTAGATTCCTATAAGAAGAGAAATTAAATCACAATTACATTTACAGGGAAATGAAATTAAAAGTATGCAATTCTTTTCTGTCTGACTATTAGTTAGATTTTACTATTGGAATATTCATTTTGTTATATATGGTGTAATCTGAACCAAACCATAGAGTTTTAACAACTTTTTGAAGTATTTTGGAATGTTGTTGATATTTAGTTGTGTGATCATGTTTTAGTGAATTTCAAAAATCTATTCCATACCTTCTAATAAGTCTTGGTATAGTAGTATTGATTTAAGAAAGTGTACTTCGGAGATGTGGCAGTTGATTGTATTGTCTATTCTTATTTTTTTAATTTAGTATTAATGTTATCTTATGGGACTTCAGTTCCAAAATATACATTTTTTTCATGTTCTAAGCGATTTCTTTTTTTTTCCTTTGTATAGATGGCAATTTGATCAAACAATTGATGGAAATTTCTGGGTTATTGCCAATTATTACAGGTGGACATGAAGCATAGGGAAAAGCTGTCAAGGAAAGTGAGAACATCATTATGGGGCAACACTTGTTAAGCAGTGTGTGCTTTTTTTCATTATTATAACTGAGTTAATTTAAATTTGTTTTTATTAATAATAAATCTTCAATATTTTCACTGTGAATGTTAAATATATAAATAATAGAAGAATCAACTTTGATCTAGGGCAAAGATCCTTAAGAATAATAGTATTGATCATAAAAATTAACATTAAATCTGGCCAAAATAACTGTTACTATAAAAGAATGACTAAAACATAAGTAATAAGAGAAGAATTTACATAGCTATACAGATATGTTAAAGAAAAAAGAAAATGAGCAATAAGGTCATAATACTGCAAAATAGCTGCTACAAACAATAAATTAAGAAATAACTAAATGGAATTGGAAAATAATGATAAATTACTTTTGTAGGCAAATTATTGTAGTAATAAAGATAAATATTTACAATAAATGATTTACATCTGTTTCTTAATGTGTTCAAATGAGTACTTATATTGGTATTATAAAAATTACAAAAATCTTATAATCTATACACTAAGAGGTACATTGATAGGAGAAAACAGAACAGATAATTTACATATAAAGGAGTGTGTTCAATATTAGTAAAAAATTAAATAAATTTCAGACTTAAAATTTTATAAATAGAAAAAAACCAATCCTCAGTGAATACTGACTGGAACTCTTTTCCATATTCATAAAAGAAAAATATATAGATGAATGCTTTACATAAAAAAACCTGGTGTGTGCAACACACAACTTTCACTTACTATCTACTTTGAATAGAAATTATTTTCTGGCTTTGTTGGGCTGTTATAAAATTTTTGAAAAGCATTTTAAACGGAATTAAAGCTTAACACACGCGAAATGTGTAAAGGTCATGAGGACGAGATCTTGTGGAAAGGGAGTGGATAGATGACTTGAATTAAAGGAAATTGTATGCGTAGGATGGATGATGATTATAGATTATTTGGTAAAGGAATGTGCCTAGGAAATATTGTCTTCTGAAGGAGGGGAAGAGCCATCTTAACTCCAAGTAGTATTGGAAAACACGAGAACGTCTCGGGGTTCTATTGAAAAGTGTTACTAAACCATTCATTATTCTTTTCAGTCTGTCTCTGAGTTCCGGTGAGAGGCCACTTTACAGCATGCAGCCCTAGTCAAGGTGGGGGAAGATGAGGGGGGATACTAGGAGTCTATGTGGGGACATGAATAGGAGATGGTCGAAGCGATGGAATAGTTTCAGGATAGAAATTGAACAGATTCCAAGAGAGGATTTGGTCTATGAAAATGCCCAAGTTTTTAACTGAAGAACTGAAAGTGATGGGTTGGTCATTTAGGTACAGGAGAGGAATGATGGTATTGAATCTGAGAAGGGGTTTGGAACCAATGACAATGGCATGGGTTTTAGCAGCTTTAAACCTTAAACTATTTCCGTTAGCCCAGGCACAGATCCGATTTAGGTCTTCTTATATTTTGGTAAACACATCATGCCACTCAGAGGGAGTGAAGGAAAGGTAAATTTGGGAATCATCGGCTTAAAGGTGATGGGAACAGTGAAGGATTGATTTATGAAGGTCATTAATATAGGAAGTAAAAAGAAAGGAAATATATATATATATATATATATATATATATATATATATATATATATATATATATTTTAGTCTTGATATAAAAATACTTCCCTTTCGTTATACTTGAAACAATACATTTATATGGTAAACAGGTAGATGGAACAAAGAAGGTATCAAGAACAAGGTAAATAATTAAAATATATACTTACTTTGAAAACACTATTTCCTGGATGGGTAAATATAAGCAAATGAAGTCTAGATTTTGAAGACCTATGAAGGCAAATGTTCCACATTCTGATATTTGAAAGCACTCAATATTGTCTTTGAAGGATTTGTTAAAAACAACTGTTGAAAACTTTAAATCAAATAAGGTAAATGATTTATCACTAGCCACAGATACTCCAACTTTATTGTTATATATAGCATTACAATGAGGCAATATATTACATTCAATCTGTAACACAGAAACGAAATTAAACCTTAGTAATAAAAACATCCCATTGTCAAAGGATTAAACCTAAAACATTGATAATAAGTGGTGTAAATATTTTATATATATATATATATATATATATATATATACATACATATGTATACACCTTTATCTATAATTGATTTGGTAAATGAGAGCAATAAATAAGTTCACCATCAAAATTAGATTAAAATGTCAATAAAAAAATTAAACTAGTTCCTATACCAAAAACCTAGTGATGAAGACATGTATCCACAAATAAACATTTAAAAAGGGAAAGGTAATATTCAATACCTTATCAGAAGTATGTATAGTGGCTAAAGTTTCACTTTCATAAATTCCATTTTCAGTAAGAGCAACAGCCCTAGTTCCAAAGTTGACAGTTTCTTCATTAGAATCATATCCAACTGTAATGTCATCCCACTTGACCATAGTTGACAACCAATTAATGATATGGTAGGGAACAAAATAGTAGTCAAGATTGTTGATTAAATGACATTAACAATTTTGGAGGGAAAAATATATCATCCATTCAAATTTTCCGGGCCAAAGAGGTTGCAAATGGTTTCTACTAGAACTTTCTTGAATTAAAAGTAAAAGTAACTTTTTAAAAATATTATCAAAAAATAAATTACAATCAAATCTTCTTTAGAATTAAGATATAGTTTTATTAACATTACATGAATGGAACAAATTGAATCATGCTCACTGTAATAGATCGTACTTTTAGAACTCGAGCAAGTTCCTTAATTTAACTGATTCCCTAAACTGAGATTTTTGGACTCCTACACACAGAATGCGATATGTTCTGATATGATACAATTTGTCGGCATCACTGTGAATTATTGCGCTCTGTGTTGCTGCTGTAATGCAGTAGACAGAGTAATACAACTACATTGCCTTATCGCCGCAGACACGAATATTTTATCACTGAGCCATATCGTACTATGTGTGTAGGAGCAATTTTCATAGTGTAATTCATCAATATATTAAATGTAGCACCGTCGGTCTGCGATTTACACTGGGTTTCAGCGGAGAAAAAAAACTTATACTTATCTAGTGAATTGTTGAATTTCAAAGCAGAAATAAATATATGTAAGAAGAAAGTAAACTGAACATAAATATGTAAAGTAAATTAAGAAATGACAACACAGATACTATAATAAGGCAAGAAAAAGTTTCTAAACTTAGTGCTATTTCCATTGATGAATGCCATCAATTGTTGAATCAGTGATTTGTTCTAAATTTAGGAACGGCATAATGGATTCCAGCATAAAATAGAGCCTCATCGAATGTTACAAAACGCACTAAAAATGGAAAATATGTAAGGAAACAACTACCTGCTGAATTGTAGCTTTTCAAAACAGAAATGAATATAGATAGAAAGTAAACCGAATATAAATATGTAAAGTAAATTGAGAAATAACAACACCTAGATTATAGTGAGGTTATATCCTGCGAATCCATCGACCCCAAACGTTTGATGGAACCGCTGAACCATCGGGGATTCGATTGATGAATAAAGGAATGCGCAGTATTATGTCGATGGCTTACATCGAAGGATTCAGTGGGGAGTAAGGAACTTGCCCAAACCATAATAACTTTATAGGAAAAACATTATTAATTGTAGCTGTTAGTTTATTTAAAGTTTAATATTAGAGTTAATCAGAGCGAAATTAAGAACTAGTCCTTTAATTCAGCGGTTCCATCGACCTCAAAAGCCGATGGAACCATAGAACCATCGGCGATATAGTCGATGAATAAAGAAATGTGCTAAAAATCCATCGATGGATTTAGGAAGAGTCTGATGGATTTCTGATGCTACCGATGAGCTCTAAACTGATACAAGAAATAGGCAAGTTCCTCAACTCAACGCTGAGCACATTTAGCTCATCTAGCCAATATAACATCATACACTTTAGAGGACGTGCTTCTTTATACAGGTGCTTAAAGAATAATGTTACACAATGATAAGTATGTTACTTCTTAAAACCTATAATGCCATTTTCCAAATTAACTATGCCAACACATCAGCTTATTGTCACATTCCTGACAGGTGCGGATTAAAATTTGAAAAGAAAAAAAAAGTATGCTTAATTATGGATAAAGATTGATCGGAAATACTTGCCAAGTAATTAAACGAGTTGATATAACGGTAATTGCAATATTAATTAATGATAAATGGAGGATTATGTTGTATATTAGGATATTTATCTTGAACCCAACAAACAAATAGTACTATTGTAGTAATGAAAAGGATAACAATAGCCCCATGTTTGGTATAAATTAAAAGTTTCAAGTCCTTTATATGTTAAGAATGAGTATTGGCTGTGTTTTCTTCGAATAAATATACCCAATAAGATGTGATATTTTTATATAGAGTCAATGAATACAGTGAAATCTGGCACATACAATAATGATTATGAATACTTTACATTAGTTAAAGTTTATATTAAATGGAAATGGCTTGTTCAGGAAATAGATCTTCTTTGGGAAATAGATGAAATGGGGTTCTTTGCTATCAGCTGTTTTCTACCATAACCTTTTACCCGTAGGAAGGTTACATCAAGAATTTTTTTTTTGATTTTTGAAACTTTGCGCTTACTCTTGGTTTGAAACCAAGAGTATTGTCTGATTATCATCAAAATCAGCCAGAATGGTTGTAACTAAAGATATTAATTTGCCAACTGAAGAGGAATTAACAGTTCCTGAAGTGAATGTTTCATCAGCTATACTCAGAGCAGCCTCTTTTCATTTAGGAAAACATTGTGAAACCGTAAATAATGTAAGTATATTTTTATTTACTAACGATTAACAACAATACTTATCATACAAATGAAAATTTTATATCTTTATGTTATGAAGGAGTTCATGCTCTGTAAGGCTGAATATCCTACTGATCCCAGAAAATGTATAAATGAAGGAAAGGAAGTTACAAGGTGCTCATTAGATTTCTTTAGAAAAATGAAAGCTAATTGTCGCAAAGAATTTGAAACATATGCCAACTGTGTTGATAAATCAAGTACTAACTTTAAATTTGCTCCGTAAGTATCTTTCTTTATGTTGTAATGTCTTAAATATGAAGGTATTTGTAAGTTATATAATTTAATTGCTGTTGATATACAATTGATAAGTACTTTGGTTTTTAATTTGGTCAATTTATAGAAAGAAATCTTCTGTTTTTTAATTTTGAAATGTAGTTAGTTTACATGAATATATGCATACTTTTATTGCAATTATCTATCAAATTAAAAAAGAAAAGTATTTTGATATGCATTTTTGAATTTCCCTATCTAGAAGGAATGACTTTAGTCTAATTATTTGTAATGTGTTCAGTAGCTCACTGCCAATGATGTTTTTTAAGCAGACATCCGTGTGATTTATTATCAATATTGCTTAATACTTTAAACGAATTAAGGTATGTAGGTCAGTATTGGCTTTCCTCTAGATTGTCTTCTTTTCTTTTTAGCTTTCTAGGATCATCTGGCTTTTTCATAAACTCCCATAATTTGAAGAAGGCTTCTTCCTGTAATTGTTAGTTGGTTTATTTTTATTTAGGTTTTGTTTGGTATTTTCAAAGTTTTCAATTTTTTAATTATTTTCAAAAATTCGTATATAGCTTTTATTTAGTTAATATGGTTATATCGTGTGTTTCAGTCCTTCAAAAGGTATTTCGAGCTCTGCTTTACTTAAACTTTCCTACAATTCTTGAGGATATTTGGTAGAGTCTTTGGTATTGCGATCCTTTTCAAAACATTCTGCTCTATTCATTATTTAGTATTATACTTAGATAGCTGTATGAGTCAGTTTGATGAAAAAGCTACTCATTTCATATTATCTGAAGAATTTGTTCATTTCTCTTAACCCGATCTTTATTTTTTGTGTTTATGGATATTCTTCTTGATTAAAATTCCTCCATCTATCAACTGACTGATTCCTAGACACTTATCTAGAATCGATTATCAGTATCACATCATCTGTTAATGTAATGGATTGTGTTTCGACTGGGATCTTGTTTCTGTTTCCCGTCCTTGGTTTTTCAGTGTTCTATTTGTACATTTTCTGTATTACACTCATAAAAATTATAGGCAACTTGGGCGTACCCAGGGTACATAACTAATTTCTAAGACAGGTTAATGATAGTGACAGGTTGATTTGTAGTATTTCAACATTTAGACAGAAAGTACAGGTTGGTCTTGATAATACCGAACACATAGATTGCATGGCCTGTTCAGATTATCAAATATTAAATTTAAAACGATGGAAAAAATGCACAAGATAACAAAAATGCATGTATCATAAGTTAAATCTGAATATATTGCACTTAAAATATTTCTGAAAATGATCATATGATGTACTTTGAGTCTCTGATTTTGTTGCTAAAGAAAATGCCTTATCTCGCAAATGCCTTAAAAGTACCAAGGCTTTGGTGGTCAACGTTGTATCTATTTGTCCAATCTCGGCAAGTATTAAATACCTTTTTGGCATTTCTATGGATTATCTACAATAAAAATTAATATAAAAACTTATTGCATACCAGTTTTTGAAATTATCAAACCGACCTTTACTGTTATTAAAATAGTCTGTCACCTTTCTTAAAAAAATCCCCAGAAATTCGATACTCTCGTCATCTCTGCTGCAAAAACTACATATACAGAGAATGAAGAGAAGAATGGTTGGGGTGCTCAGTCAAAAAGGAAGGCAAAAAATAAATAATAATATTTATTTTATACATATTAACCTGTCGGCATATGTAAAAAAAAAAAAAAAAATATTATTTATTTTTTGCCTTCCTGTTTGACTGAGCACCCCAACCATTCTTCTCTTCATTATCCACGACAGTCAACCGATTACCAATTATACATATAAAGAGATTCCTAAACTTCTGATTGACTGCCTAATTTTAATGGTCACAGTTCAGAGACACCACAACACAATCTTGATACTACCGTATCAAACAATTCCAGTAATATGTACTTAGAAACTCTCGTAAGTCAACTTTAACATATTTTTCCTTCTTGTTCTGATTACCAAATGTTTTGATTATCCAGACCATCCTGTAATTATAAAAAAAGGACAACTACTATAATAAAAAAATAATTATTTTTTGAGCTGGCTACATCCTAGATGGATAGAGTATATCTCCTTGTTTGGTCATTTGAAGGAGTTAGCTTTAGTTGACTAATACTTTTCTATAAGCTCTTACCTTGATTGGAATTTAAGCCCTCTTGATAATGAATGCTGTATTCAGATGCAGAATTGAAGCATAAGGAGCATAAGAATTCAAGGAAAGAATCTCTATTTCCTTGGGAGAGTATTTTTTCTGAATTAGGGTCATTTAAAAGGGGAATAGTAAATTTAATTTCAGAAATACAATCAGACAAATAAAAATACTTATTCTACAATACAAAGTGGCAATCAATGCTGACCTAAAATAATAACTTAGAGTTATTATTATTAATTAACATTTCTGAAAAATTAAATCTTTCAATTGCCTGAATTATTTCCATGAAAAATAGTTATTAGAAGTACAATAAGAATGTTTAGTTGTTCATCTGAGTGAAATTCAGTCCCCATAATTAAGATTATGTAAATATATATATATATATATACTATTACTTCAGGTAATGAATGTTAATTGCATATTTAATTTATATTTTTTAAAATGCAACATTATTTTTACATATTGTTTATATGTAAATAAATATAAATAGATATAAATGTAAATGTAAATTAATAGTGATATTTTAGTAATTGATGTATTCCAATTCAGGTAACAGAAAAAAAATCTTTTAAATAAATTATTGTAATTATTTTTCTGAAAACACTGGTACCCCTGATCTGACAGAATTCCGATGTAATAGATCCATATCGATATAATAGACTATTTGTCATACAAGTAGCCTCATGTCAAAGAAAGGATAGAAAAATAAAATTTTGTTTTATAGGTTTTACTCAGACTTTTTATAAGGATTTTATTTAAGAATATTCAATTTGAATCATGAAACAAAATCATTAGAATAGGTTAAAATTGAAGCTATGGTAAAAAAATGTATTTGCTTTTTCTTGACTTTTTAAAAATGGCAGATGTGCGTCTTTAATATGAAGCTAGTCATATGTCGAAAGTCAAAATTTATTTAGTGTTTAATTTATGTAAACCAGTAAGCTTATTTTTAATCACCCATCGAAGTGCTAATCATCCTACAACATAAATTTAAATATATGTCACCTGCCCCAGAATTCTGGCCTTTACATTATATATGTATATGTATAGGTTTTCAAGTTATTATTGTGTTTTAAATAACTCTGAATAAAACATCAGTTAAGTCTCATTATGATTTATAACCACTTTTTTTTTAATAATGTGTTTATTTATTATAGTGCTTTTTTAAAAACCAATATTTTCTTTGTTGCTATGTTTGTAATTTTTGTAATAGGATTGCTTATTGTTTCTAAATATAAATAAATTTTTTAGATGCCGAAAGACACAAGGAGTTTATGATCAGTGTATGCTGGATAAGTTGAATATTGAGCGTCCTTACTGGGGCTACTTTTCAGAATTAAAAGTTCATGACTCACCTCGCCCCAGACCTCCTCCTCCAAAACCTGAAGTCTATCCAGGTGCTTCCGAGAAACTTCCCGATGACTTTCCTCAATATAAAGCAAAATATGATGGTCGTTATATATTCGACTAATTGGAAGAATGTAAAAACTTGGGTTGAGTATCATAGTGTATTCAAGACATTGATTTAGCCAATTATGAGTGCTAGTAGTGTTTTATTTATTATCATTGTCTTATGAAAAATAAATAAAATGTTATTGTTTAGTTTGTATTTTTCATCTGTTATTCGAATGGTTTTACTATTAAATATTTTGTTTTATTTCCTCAGTTAATTGCATTACCTATCCAAGAAAATTGATAGTATATTTAATTAAAATATAAAAGGAAGTATTTATACATTCATAGAATGAAAAATGATTAACAATTTTGCATTATGAAAAGAATTTTTACAAGAAAACCTCCAAAGACTTTCAATATTTTGAACCTAAGTGTAACATACTCTTAATTTCATAGTTACAATAGACTCATCCATATCTACATTAATGAGGAAAGGGGTGTTCCAGGTACAAGGATATGTACAAAATAAAGAAAAATAAGAGTAATTATATGTTTATGATAAATTTCATAATTTTACATCAAATCATTTGCCTAAAGAAGATTTTTTCTGTTATTTTAGTCAATTTTTCCTCTACTGTGATGTCTAGTGACTTATGCCCATGACATAATTTGATTCCTATGCCAGGCAAGTGATTTTTACAATAAATCAGAAAAAAACATTTAATGCTAACTCTTGATTGGGTAATATATTGTTATTTTTAAATCAATAGTTAAACATAAAATTTAAATTATATGACTTGCTTCATATCAAAGATGTACATTGGTCATTTTTAAAAAGTGGGGAAAGGTCAATTTTGGTTTTATCGTTTCAACTCAAGGCATCTCAGATGATTTTATTTAAGAAATTCCAGTTGAATAATGGAAAGAAATCATTAGAATTGTTTTAAATTGAAACTAAAAAACAGAAATTGGCTTTTTCTCAACTCTTATAAAATGAACAGATGTCCGTTTTTGATATGAGGCCACCTATATAATTCTAGTATGTATTTAAATATTAATTTCCACCATAGTTTACTTGAAAATAACTTTTTATTAATGGAAAAATTGATTACATACATGCAAATATAAATACATAATTAAAAAATTCGTATGGTTTATTTCACTTTTTCATTGTGGTTGAAGAGAAATAGGTAAAGAAGTTTTTTTTTTTTACATATGTGTTTATTTGGCTGTCCAATTATTGTGAAGGTGGTTCTGTGAGAGTCTATTCTGTATTGTATAGGAAAAGAAAAGTGGGTTGTATAAAAAAAAAATCTTAGTGATACTAAGATTGAAATCCAGGTTTACATGTTAATGCTTTTTTAGTTCTTGATCTTGACCTATTATATTATTGATAGATCATCCTTGAAGTATAGTTTTTGGTGAATCGTTTTATAGAGATATAGTACTGAATGCAAAGAAAGTTTTTTAAGCGTTTGATATCCTAATAGTTTTTTCATGAATAAAAGGCAACAAATTATTAGATGCTTGTTTCAAGCAAAGATCACTCTTTGCAGGCGACTAATATCATCTCTGTCCATCTTTCTACATCCAGCGTGAAAATGTTCACTTAAGGCCAATAGGTCACCTAAACTCAGCTTTACTTTATTTTTACTACATTTTGTTTAACAGGAGGTGTTCTGAGGTCATCAATTAAGTTGATAAAGATTGGTTATGTTGTTTCCATTTGTCAATTTTCTGTTGATACACTCCTGGGCCTTTTAATGTATTACAAAATACACTAAATTATCTAATTTTATTATTCGTCTAATTAAGTTTAAAAGCATGTTACATTATAATCAGGAAGTAAAGTGTACTTCCATGAAAAAAAATCTAGAAATGTTTTATGCCAGTTTAGTTATTGAGAAATTATCTACATCAAATTAGAAAGTATGTTAGTTTGAAATATATATATATATATATATACAGTATTTTTGAATATGAAAAAATCTTGAACTGCTTTAGTTTTTTTCTACAACGTTTTCAAACATGAATTATTTACATTTTCCAGTTTATTTTCAAGAATTGTCTAGTTATAAAATTATTAGTTTAGCCAAGGTCTTATGAAGAGGGGATAGCTAAAACTCTTCTCTTGTGTTCATGCTTAAAATCAATTCATGGCCGTGGACAGGTTTTGTCACATTGTTTATTCTGTATTTGAATTCAGTCTCAAGACTAGAATGTAGGACTGTGGTGTCACTATTAGGGATACAAAATAACTGGTCATATTGATATCTTTTTTGTTAGATTATTATACTGAACGTTTGATAAATTCCAGTAAAATAAATTAAAAAAGAAAACTCAATATGTATTTTAAAACTTATTTTTTGCTACTCACTCTAATCTTTAGTTTCTATTCAGTTAAAAATAGTGAATGTATTTAGCTATAAATAACCCTCCACGCTCACTGGTATAATAAAAGGCCTCTGGTCACAGATGCAAAGTACGCATACAGTGTGCAAAGCCCTTTTACCTTAAAATGCCCTTGGGCAATAAAAGGAAATTAGAAATTCTTGTATATATATTTCTTTATGCATGTAAAAAAAAAGAAAAGAAAAAAGCTATAAATAAACAAATCTGGTGCGCGCACCACACAACTTTCACTTACCCCTCTACTTTGAATAGAAATTATTTTCTGTCAATGTTGGATTGTTATAAAATTTTTGAAGTACATTTTAAACAGAGCTAAAGCTTAAAGCTTACAGATAACAAATCATTAAGGCCATTCAAATTACAAAAACTGTATTTATTATATCGACGGTAGGCAATAAAAATCTAGTTATTCTATCTGCTTCTACAAACCACACAACTTCAATCTCTGAGCCTTTCAAGTTGATAGAATGACTAACTCCAATTTCAACATTTTTGAGTAATGTCATTTTAGTGATATTTCTAGTTGGAAAAGTTATATCTATAGATAGATAGATAGAAAAAAAACTTTATTCTGGGACTTAGTCCCTTCAGAATAACAATAATGTACAAAATGATAGAATATTACTGGCCTAAATGTTTGAAACAATAAATAAAATTGATAAAATAAAATAAAAAGTAAAGAAAACCTTAGGTGCACAAGCTATATACAATACAGATAAGACTATGTACAGAGCATTTAAAATTATGAACAAAACAATTAAAACTATGAACGAATCACTTGAACTATGAACAAAATTATATATAAGGGTTGATCAACGTAAACATACCCTTTGAGAAATGAAGAACGAAAAAGAGATGCAATGAGTTCATTTCATAAAATAAAAAAAATAAAAACTTTACTTGAATATATATATATAAATAAACATTTAATTATAATTGAATAAAAAAAAATGTATGTATTGAAATTCCTATGTCGATAGTAGGAAATGCATGTACTATCTCTTACCAAGTATTATGATTATATGATTGCTACTCAATACATATATAATATTAATAGTTAGCTGGTATCTGACTGTTTTTGGAACAGGAATTGGAATAGGAGGTTTTTGAATGTGTATAGGGAAGGGGTATGTCGAATTTTGATCGGGAGGGAATTCCAAAAGTTGACAGAGCGGGCTATAAAGGAATTTTGGAATGAGGCAGATCTATGAGAAGGGATGAACAGGTCAGAGGGTCGGGATCTTGTAGTGAGGGAATGGATTGAGGACTTAAATTGGAGAAGGTTGTAGGCATAAGAAGGACGATGATCGGTAATGATTTGATAAAGGAAAGTGCCTAGGAAATATGGTCTTCTTAAGGAGGGGAAGAGCCACCCTAACTCAGTGTAGTGGTGGGAGACACGGGAGCGTCTCGGGGTCCCAATTACAAATCTTTCGAAGCTATTCATAAGTCTTTTGAGTCTATCACGGAGTTCCACCGAGAGGCCATCGTACACCACACAGCTGTAGTCAAAGTGGGGAAAGATGAGCGAGGAAACTAGGAGTCTACGGGTATTTTGGGGTAGAAGATGGCGGAAGTGATGGAATAGTTTGAGGGTAGAAATTGCACGGTGGGATATATGAGAGATATGGTGATTCCAGGAAAGGGTTTGATCTATGAGAAAGCCTAAATTTTTAACAAAGGGATAGAAGGTGATGGGGTGGTTGTTTAGATAGAGTGAGGGAAAGTTGGTATGGGATCTAAGGAGGGGCTTGGAACCAATGAGAATGGGCTGAGTTTTGGCAGCATTTAGCCTTAATCCATTTAAGTTGGCCCAGGAACTAATTCCATCTAAATCTTCTTGAATTTTGGCAAATGCCACCAGTAACTCAGCGGGAGAAAAGGATAGATTTGAGAATCGTCGGCATAAAGGTGGGTATCTATATAGACATTGAGTAAGTTAATTCGAGACGAGGTGATTGCAGTATTGAATTATAGAACCGTGAATGAAGGTATACATTTTGCCACTAGAAACATCACTAAAATTAATAATAAAGAATGTTGAAATTGGAGTTAGTCATTTTGTCAACCAAAAGGCTCATGTATGTCTAGAGAGATTTGAAAGTATAAATGAATATTTAATCTATAAATTACTATGGATTGTAGGATTATTAGTTATTAAACTGTTACTTTCCATTGTAAAGTTTACTAAAATGATATTACGAAATTTTCATTGCCTGCCATGGATAGGTCATAAGTTGGGGGGTCCATTGAGGATCCAAGACACTGCCTTGAGGTACTCCAGCTTTTATTTGTTTGATGACAGAAAATTCAGTCTGAGAAATCATGGCATGGAGGAGAAAGACCAACAAAGAAATGATTAAAGGGACTGGTTTGTTTAGTTTGACTATTAAATAACAAGACTGAAGATTTAAAACATTTTATTTTGACATCATACATATTAATAACTCTCCTCTATTCCTACAATGCTCTGTGTCATTTGTGGGGAACCTTTTTGTCATCAGAGCCCAAAATAAGGTTAGCTAAAGATAAAAGGTCTATTAACAGTGTCTCATCCAAATTGCATTGGAAATCACTCCAACAAGCTGGTTTTGAGGATAATTGAGTGGGAGTTTCAGAAGAGATATAAAGAATTTCAAAGATGGCTATCCAGGGTGAAGATGAGGGAAGCCTCCTGTTAGTTGGAGAAGTATGACTGGAAGAATGTCAGGTCCAGGATTAAAAGAAGAGGAAGAGATGAGCAGAGGTGTGAAAGAGCAGGGTGAAGAGGAAACTTCAATTTATGAAGGAAAACAAACTAAAAAAAATATTATATATATATATTTTAGCGAAATTAAGCTAATCTTCCTTGAGA